ATTTATGAAGTTGTTTACAGTTTTCTAAATTAATGCTCTTGTCAACATGGCCGAGAGAGTGCGTGTACTTAAGCGTAAACATGAGAGGTGCCTCCAAGCACCAAAGCAACTTTCAACATATCTCAAGGACCAATTACACTAATGACCCTGATCACTGGCTCCTTGTAACCACACTTTTTGCAGTGTAACTTTGCAGCTCCTCCCATTCAGAGGTGAAACCTGTTTCCCACCTTTCAAGTCTGGGCTGCCCTTGTGCTCTGTCTGGTCAGTAGTACATGGTGGAATGATGGAGATCCAGTTCCTGGTCTAGGCCTCAAGAAGCCTTATGGGCATCTACTGTCACTTGGATTGCTGCCAAGGCTCGATCAGGCAGCTGGGGGCATGTGAGGGACACACAGGCGGAGACCACCCTCCTATCTTCCCAGCCATGCCAGATGAAGCCATCAGAGATTCTAGTTGACCTGTTGTTAACCACAGCCACATGTGTGAGTATAATCACAGCCCCTGAGCTCTTCCTGGGTCAGCAGCAGCAATGGGGAGAATCCTGAGAAATAATAAATGTTTGTTGTTTTAAGTTACTGCATTTTTGGAGTGGTTTTTAATGCATCGATAGCTAACTGCTAGAACAAAAATTTAATTTTCTTCTTAATTAGAGGTCTATTCATTTATTGTCAGTACTTCAGTTTGGACAGATTGGTCCCTGTGCAGCTGCCATCTCAGGATCTCCCCTTGTCATCATTGTAGGAATTCCCTTTACTTTGCTCTCTGTGTCCCATGCCCTCCTCTTTCTCAGTTACCTCCCTTGTTTTGATGGAGTACATCCTGTGGGAGTTGCCTGAAAATGGGTGGATAGGTTTGGAGACAATGCATATTTGAAATGCCTTCATGCTACCCTTTCTCTTAATTTGTGGTTTAGCTAAATTCAAGTTCCAAGTGGGAACTATTTCTCTCAGAAATTTGAGGGCATTCTTTCATGGTCTTCTATGTGGCTCTTGAGAAATCTCATTCTATTCTGATTCCTAATCCTCTGTATTATCAATCTTCCTTCTCCAGAGGCATCGAATGATCTCTTTGCCTCGATTGTGATGAATTTTTAAGATGATGTGCTTTAATGTGGGTCCGTTTTCACCCATTGTGCCAAGCATTCACCTGGTTGTTTTAGTCTAGATATTTGTGTTCTTCAGTTCTGGGAAACCTTCTTGATTTATTCTTGAATGAATCCTTCCTCTTCATTTGCTCTTCTGCAACTCCTATTATTCACAAGGTAGATTTCCTAGAATGGTTCCCTACTTTTATCTTTTCTCCTCTGTTTCCTTTGCTTTGTTTTTTCTCTCTTTTCTGGGATATTTCTTTAATATTATTTATCCAAATCTTCTATTGAGTTTATTTTTCAATTTGCAGTTTGGAGTTTAAATTTTATTTTATTTATTTTTAAAAGATTGTATTTATTTTTGAGAGACAGAGAGAGAGCATGAGCAGGGAGGGAGGGAGATAGAGGAAGAAGCAGACTCCCTGCTTAGCAGGGGACCTGATGCAGGGGCTCCATCCCAGGACCCTGAAGACAGACACTTAACCGACTGAACTACCCTGGCACCCCTAGAGTTTAAATTTTAAAGAGCTCCTTTTTTGCAGGTGTTCCCTCAATGTTCCTTTTCATATCAGCACTGTGTTCTTGTTTCATTGATATAGGATCTCCTTTTATCTTAAGGTGGTTATTTGTGATGTTTTTAAAAGTTTCCCTCTCTGTGAATCATCTCTACTTCTGATGTGTAAGAGGGAGCCAAAGGAAGCTAAGAGCTCTGTGTGCCTGGTGGGGGTTGAGATGTGATCTTCACGACAGCTTGCTTTGCTGTGCCATTTCCTTGGCAGAACTCTCATGTTTGCATCTTCAGAGTTTTCTCTGTCTTATCAGACTCCCCAGAAAGACTGAACTTCTGCCTGATGGATACATGCTTGGCTGCTGGCACTCTGGAAGCCAGGCTGGGGGGAGAAGGCAAGGGAGTCTCAACATTCCTTATGTATGTTTTCACTTCTGGGGATGGTATTTCTAATGTCAATGGGATATGCCTTGTTGCCCCTCGTAGACCTTCCATTTTGCCATCTTCAGAGAATGGATTTCTGGTCATTGGTTGGGATTCAGAAAGAACAGATTTTTAGCTACTTGAAGAGGGAGATCTGGGGTTCTAACTGCATCTTAAATAGACCTCAAAGCCATCCTCCTATTTTTAGCCCCATCTTCTCCAGCACATCTAATGCTAATGCTGCCAATTTCTGAGCCTTTCATGGGGGTTCTGCATCACACATGAAATTGACCTGTCTCAACTTCCCCACTGCTGGCTTAGGATTCAGCTTCTCCAGATTTGCTGTTACCAATGAACTGTCACTCTCCAGCTTCAAATTTTTGTTCCTATTGTCTCTTCTTCCATTCCCTTTGATCCCCCTGGTTTACACCTTTTTGGGATATCTCTATTGTCTTTTCAGAGGTTTGCATGAGAGAATGGAGGTGAATAGGTTTACTCTTCTCTCTCTGCATGGGAGTCCAGTAGTACTTGGTTTTTAAAGAACTAATGCTTCAAGATATCTTATTTAGTCTGAGTTATGTAGACCACACATTTACTAGAGAGGGAAGACTGACCCTCAAGTGGTAGAAGTCCATGTGATTTTTTTTTAAGAGAAAATGAGAGTAAGGTTTCAGACACTTCACAAAATTTTAACCTTGTGGTTCTAAATTACCGAGACAGCCAGATCATCACAGCTCTGCCCCTCAAAGGCTTCCATTCTCTTTAAATCAGAGACTCTCAAGTCCATTTCCTTTAGCCTTTTAATAGTAGCCTTTTGGTATTTTTCCAATAAGTGCTTTCAACAGGGCAATATACATATCATGCTTTCCTCATTACTACTGGTCCATCAGTAAGTATACAAAAATCAGGGGAAGGGTGTGCTGTGACAAATCAAAGTAACAACAGTCGCTGTACATGCATGAACAATGAGCTATTCTTTGAAAACTCAACAAAAGTGATTTATAGAAAGGCATACCTATTACATAAAGGTAAACGGGCCATGTTATTTTTATTCTTAAGTACACGTAACATTTCTAGAGAAGTCAGAGGTTCCTTTCTCCCACTCCTCAGTTGTACTAGTATTGAATGAACACTGGCTATGGAATCAGTTCTTGGCATCATGGTCTCAATATAAAACTTTGAGAGGTTCTGCTGGAGAATTCCATTCTGCTAGGCCAGAATCTACAAAATATGGATATGAAAGAGTCTCTTGCCCCATTTTTTTTTTTCACGCAGTGCTAATTTAAAGGCAACCCTCAGGAGACACAAAAGATTTACAATTGTGGGAAAAATTGCATCTTAAACTCTCAGCTTACTGGAATTACATCATTATTTCAAATGGAAGAGAATACCTCCTATTCCATGAACTCAGGGCAATATTGGAAGGATATTACATTCGAGGGCTGGACGCTCTGGACCTCTCCCATTCCTGTCTGTGAACACAGAGGTACATACAAGTGTGGACTACAACAGTAATAAAAGGAAAGATCGTATGAAATTCTAAAATAAAATAGAAAACAATCACCTATCTCAGCCTGTTTATTGGAAATCTCTAGAAAAAGAAAACCATCCCTAACTGTGAGACTTGTAAGACTATCCACGACCCTGAAAGGAATCTGGGGACAGATCAAACCTGGCATAGCCCTCCTGAACCAAATCCTAGAGTGGCTAAAGAGTCAGAGTGAGGGTGTCTTCAGCTGACCAGGAAAGCTCTTGGAAAGCAGAGAGTGCTTGGACATAGCAGCTGTGAAGGGGAGTGGCTAGATATCCTTTTCTTTTCTATCCCTTGAAAATAAAGAGAAACCCTGACAGCTGGATATGGAACTGGCTGAGGAAGTTCACAGAAGGAAGTTTTCAAAGATCATGATTGAGAGGTGGTCTTGAGGATGGATAGGGGAGAACAGAAATTGGAAAGGAGTGCAGAAAGTGGGCCCCTCTTTTAAAAATAGTTCCTTCATAATCACCCCATGTATAAGACCAGCCCTGACTAATGTGGGACTCATTTTCTCCTCCTCCTCCTCCTCCTCCTTCTTCTTCTTTTCCTCCTCCTCCATCTCTCTTCCTCTTCAGTCTTAGCAATGTTACCAGTTAAACAAATCAGTTTAGGCAGAGATGACTTTTTGTGGGGGCATAAGGAAAAGGTCTCGTTTTATAAGAGTCCTTACTTTATAGATTCCATTCCTTCTATTACAAATCATCTTTGGAAGTTCCAGGACCAATGGGACTTCTGAACTAAGGAATAAAGACCGAGGACTTGCCAAGCAAGGCATAAAGCCATTATTCTCTCATTTGGTCATAAACCTGCCTACGCTGCTGAGACTGGCGGGCAGCCCTGTAACCTTCTGAGGGACTTCCCAGGTATTTAACTTACCCTGAGTAGCAACTGCATCAGGGACAGCTGGCTTGTTAAAGTATAAACAAATATAGTCATAAAAACACTCAAACAGGATCTACACAGCTGCCCCCCTCCTCCCCAACCTGTGGCAACCAGTTGGCTACGGTTTATGCTCTCTTTCATTTCCATTGGCTTCTCTTTTTATTACAAGAGGTCAAAAGGTTCTCCCATAATGTTTTTGGACATGACTTAGCAGGGTCAGCGTCTATGAAATGAGATGCCACAAATGGTAGCTCATGCGATGTAATGTGACTTTTCAGAGCCTTACAGGGCAGAGAACTGGTGGCCATTCTCACGTAAAAGCAGCTGAGGCTCCTCCCCCTCGCGGTTCTGGTGCTAGGATGGGATGAAGTCTTTGGAGACTCAGAGATAAAATAGTGCTGTCTTCCTTGATTCTCTTTGGGATTTGGTTGAGAGAGCCTGAATGGGGGCTTAGTGGCTCTGAGATGAAGACTTTCGAGGAGGGCCTTCTCACATCTTCCTGATGAGTTTTTGGGAACCAGACTTGGCTGGTGAAAAAAAGTGAAGGATCACAGCATCAAGGGTTAAGGTGGAAGAAATACAGATGTTTATTATGAATCAGCTTGAACCCTTTATGCCTCTGACAAAGTAACAAAAAAAAAATCATACTAATCAAAGGACCTCCAGGGTTTAATATTTCAAAAATACAGATAAATAGCTTCCTACAGATAAATAGCTTCACCTTTTGGGTATTTCCCAGAAGCACATGAAAAATTTCCAGGGGTTCTGTAGAAGGGGCTTTGTAACCAGTACATTCTGACCCCTAGCCCACCGGAAAGAAATGCCCAGGGACGGGCTGCAGGAGGGGGGCGGGGATGTGGACTGATTCAAATATCCTCCCAGGGACCAACCCCTCTTAGCTCTGGGGGATGTCTATAGCAGGTGGCTACTGCCTGGGAGGAGGAGTGGTGGGATGGCCGGGATCAGGATGACATATTTGTGGCTTTTGTTAGAAGCCATCCAGAGCACGCCCTACGGCGTGGAGGCTTCTAGGTGGGAACTGGAACAGTCAAATTCTTGCAGGTTATCAATTGGGTCCTCATTTCAGAAAGCAATGCTGTTTTTATAAACTGGACTTGACTTTAAAAAACAAAATGCAAAAAACCAAAAAGGAGTAGAAAATTTTATACTAAAAAAAGATCCCCAAATGAAACAATCAGTAGCACGTCACATCTGTGAAGTGTCCCAGCTCCTTCTTAAGGTGATGTCTCCAAGTGCTATTTCTCTCCAAGGTCACCACGGCCTGGGTGTTACACCCCAATCTTCATGTCCACGTTCTGCAGGTTCCGCGTCTCGTCGGCTGTCATATACTGATCGGGGGTCTCGGAGGGCTCCTTGTTCACCAAGTGCACCATCTCCTGAGACTTGCTGGCCTCTCCATTGATTCCGCTTGGCTTCCTGTCCCCCACCGCTCCATTGCCATTATTAATCACCAGCTTCTTCTTCTGCCCACACCTAATGATTGAGAAAAAAAGCACATGAGAAGGCGCTCTGATGACACAGATCATCATTGTCACCACCACCGTCAAGGTCATCACGACAGGTTTGGATGGTCCAGCAGCATTTTTCATCCGACCAACAGTTAACCCTCCAAAGTGAGTCCCTGAACCAGCAGCAAAAGCATCACCTGTAAACTTGTTAGAAACGCACATTCTCAGCCTGACCCCAGAGGTACCGAGTAGGAGAAGTCTCGGAGTGGGTTTAATCTCTGTGCTTTTACAAGGCTGCAAGGGGGTTCTGATGCACAACGGAGTTTGAGAAACTGTGGTCCCAACTTGGGGACGCCGGGGCTAGTATTGTACTCCAAAAATTCAGTAAGTTGCCCCCATTTATTCGGCAAGTAACAAAAGAATTGGGAATCAAGCCTTTTGGTGTCTGACTCCTAAGTTCTAATTCTCCTTCCTCATCCTAGGCGATGGCAATGTTTGCCTTTTTTAGGCACTTCAGCAGTTCCTGCAGACTTAGATAAACCGTGAACATGAGGACTATAAATCATTCTGATTTGTGTATTCAACCAAGTGCCCTGACTTCCTCTCCCAGTGGACATTTTGTTGGCCTTATCAGGGTTCTGACTGCATGGTCTGAGAAAAATGAAACATTATTCTGGACATGTAAGGCCGCATTGATTTTCATCAGCTAACATTGGTTAACTTCCATATAACTGCACATAGGAGGCTTAATTAACTATGTAAGGAAAGCTCTTCATGGTTACTGCAAGGGTTCTCAGTAACATTGCTCACGATTCGAGCTCAGGAGGTCTTCTATGGGAGAGCATGACCTTGATGGTATCTCTGGGTCATAGCTGTGGCATTGCCTTGCCCCACTCAGCCTGATGCAATGCTTCCTCTGTCCTGTCCCAGGCCTACTGCTGCACATCTAGAAGTCAGATTGCTTAACAGAAGCAAAGCCGCAGAGCCTCATGGCAACAAGGAGGTGGGGAAGGGGGAAATGGACTAGCATTTATTGAACACCTCCTGACTGCAAGGCACTTGACATATAATTTCATGAAATCTGCAGAATAATCACGCAACGCAGCTGTTATTCTAGTTACACAGCAGTGGAAACTGAGGTCTGGGGATGTTTGATAACTAGCTTGAGGTCACACAGCTAGTAAGACAGAGTCAATATTCAAATCTATGCCTTTATGACCAGAAGCCTGGGCTCTGCCCAGCTCTATTCATGCTGCCAGCCATCTGGAGATTTGGAAACAGTGTGAAGTCGGAATTGTTCACTTTGCTGCTAGATATTTGGAGTTGTAGAGACAAAGCCTCTATTATTCATGATTATGGGCCATTCCCTTTAGAATTGCCAAGGCCATAAACTTTAATCTCTTATTTGGGGAAGGAGAAATTATACCTCCTCAATGGGAGGTAGATCCTGTCTCCGCTGGCATGATGCTTGAGGAGGGGGTGGAGGGAGGGTTGCTTGAACTTTGGGGCATGTCCGTGGAGCGGGGACTATGGGTGCAGTCCGCACAGATAGGGGTAGGGGCTGGGAAGGCTTGGGTTTTGAGAACTTCTTGCTGTGTGGCCTGGAGCAACTGATTCAACCTCTCGGATTCTCAGGTTTCTTATCCATAAAATTAGGCGGGCAAGAGTACCAGTCTCACAGGATTGTGGAAAGCCCTTGAAACACAGCCCAGCACTGACACATGAGTGTAATCGCAGTTACTACGTTTTGCTCTTACTCAGGGGGATGGGGCAGCCAAGGCCTTGGAGAAGCACTTAGGACAGAATCTGGAACACAGTGAATGTTTGAGAAACGCTGGCTGTAGTTCATAGACCCAGAGTCATATGAGTTGGGATTTGCTTGTGTTCTGGCTGCTCCCACCCAGTCATTATATTTCCTATGAAGACGGCCCAGAAGGCTGAAGGTGGAAGTCTGCTTGTATTTTTTCAAGTTCTCCAATGGGTATCTCAGGTGTTCTTTGGAGGGAAGGTGTCTTATTAAAGCAATTCCCATTTGCTGACCTAATGGATAGTTTAGAAGTTGAACGGCACATTGTAGGAAAGTGATTAATAATCACAAAAAAATGTTGGTGCGTGAGTGGGGGCAAGGGACTCTTGTTATTTTGTCTAATAAAGATGATTTTATTTAATTATTTTTAAGATTTTATTTATTTATTTGACAGAGTGATAGATAGTGAGAGAGGGAACACAGCAGGGGGAAAGGGAAAGGAAAAGGGAGAGGGAGAAGCAGGCTTCCTGCTGAGCACGGAGCCCCATGCGGGGCTTGATCCTAGGACCTTGGGATCATGACCTGAGCCGAAGGCTTAATGACTGAGCCACCCAGGTGCCCCATAAGCAAAGCTGATTTTAAAAGTGGATAACGTTGAACCCATGGGGCACCGAAATACTGTGCTTGGGTTTGTCCTGCCCCCATTTCCTTTTGGATTTCTGTGTCTGTGCTCTGAGTTTCTTCAGGAGGACAGGATGAGTCTCATAAATAACTAGTTCAATATTTTTGCTCCAGGCACTAGTAAGTCCATCCATCCGTCCTTCCTTCCTTCCTTCTCTTTTCTTTTTTCTTTTTCTTTTTTTTTTTTTTTACTTACTATATCACTGTCTTATTAGAAAAGGTAATAACCCAGGAACAGCCTGATGGAAGAGATGCACAGGGCAAGGGCTGAGGAAAGGGTGCGGAGTGGCCCTGTCCCTGTGAGGGCACCAGCCTCCCCGAAGCTCACCAGCTCAGAAGCATTAATAAGTACCTTTTAAAAGACAAGTTATAATTTTTTTCATTCTTTTTAGTTACAGAACTTTCAGAGAGAACACAAGAGCTGAGGGGACTTCAGAGGTCGCCCAGCCAACCTCTTCATTACATAAAACCAGAAACAGAGTCCAAGAAGCCAAGGGTATCATCTGAGGCTACACGAGTTATGGCAATAAACAGAGTATCTGCAACTTAGACTTTCATACTCCAAAGGGCAGACAGAGATCTCTAGCAAACTGTACCCCTTCTTCAGCTCCTTTCTCCTCAAATCTCAGGCATCAGTCAGCTGAGCAGTGGAAGGAGCCATACAGGCGTCTCACCAGGTCTCCAGAGTGGGCAGCCTGGGTGGGGTGAGAAACCAGGTGGCACACATTTGTGACATGGAGGAATTTATCCTGAAAAGTTTGGGGGAGAAACTTAACAACGGCTCTTCTGTCTTCCCCCACCCCAACACTCCTTAAAGATACTTAGAGATTTATTTTGCATTGTGTCCGAGCTGTGCCACCCAAAATGGCAGCCACTAGCCACGGGCCACTGTTCAAATTTAAACCAATTAGAACAGAAGAAAGTTAAAAAGTCACCTCCTCAGTCAAACTAGCCACATTTCAAGTGCCTAGGATCCACAGGTGGTTAGTGGTTGTGCATTAGTACAGATGTGGAACATTTCCATCATCACTGAAAGTTCTATTGGACAGCTTTGTTCTGGAGGACAGAACAAGGTCGGGTGAACAAGGCAGTGAGCTTGACTGTAGCTGAAGAGAGAAGGAAGGCGGCTAAACCATGGAGCTTTACAGAAGGGGCTTACCGAGCAGAGGGGGAACGACTACCCTCTGGGAGGCGGCAGCACAGAAAAGATGATTATTCCCCTGAGACTGACAGCTGGTGAAGGCCTTTTCTGCATAGCCATATAGTGACACCCTTGAATCATTCCAGCTTTGTGAAACCTCCTTTTGTAAGGTCCTCACATTCCCTCCCCCATCTTCATACAAATCAGATCACATCCTTATGGGAGAGGCATTTAACCCCTCTTGGGCCTCACCTGATACCTACCAACCCAACCGACTCCTAAGATAATTGTCTGCCCTTAAGAAAATGGAATGAAGTAGGATTTTCACTGGAAAGCGGAAAATCAAGGACTCTGATTACGAACAGCAAGGGAAGATGATGTGGGGCGTGAAGGGGATGGGAAAAGCTAAAGAAACAACAGGACCCCTCCATCCGCATCTTTACGATGCATGACTCACGGGTCACTTTGTCATGGAAGCCCGTGGGCAAGCCTTGCCCATCAACTTCAGTAACTGCTTTTCCCTTTCGTCTTTTAACCAGAGTTCATACACCAGGGCCCAGCACAGAGTATGTTCTCGGAAAGATCAGCTGACTCAGATCCAGCAAGTCAATTCTGCTGTTAAACCTCAAGGTTCTTCCGGGCTGGGATGGCATCTTTTCCGTGTTTAATCTTTTCTCCCTCACCAGCGCAGATTGTAGGAGCTGCTCAAAAGACGTTTGCTGGATAAACGGAAGCCTGCCTTGGGTCCTTATTTCCCACCAAACTTTCTTTGATGAAAATAGGATTCTGGATCTCTCTAAAATGTAATGTTCAAAGCAAAAAGGCCCCAGCCTTTTAAGAGGATTAGAAATGGGCTTGCGGCTTTAGAAATGCAGTGCACATGAAGGGGCCCGGGGAGCTGTTAACCACCCAGTCGCTGTGTGGCAAATCTGTTTCTGATTATCAAATCGGGACATGGTGATTTACGGCATCCAAGCAGCTGCTTTCCCTGTGAGATACTCACTGTGCCGGCCCGCGTGTCCCTGTTTGCCTGTTGCTAGGGCGATGGCTGGTGTTGGGATGGGGCGGGGGCGGGGGGCACGGAGGGCAGCTGTGGGGCCCCTTTCTGCAGCTAACAGGCTGGGGAGCACCGTGGGAGCTAACCAGCCCCACTGGGCAGACTCCAGCTGCTCTCAGGGACAGCTGAGATGCTTCTCGGAGGAGTCTCCCACTTGGACAGCATCTGGGGCCAACGTTTCTATGGCGACGTGTGCAAACCTTATGGATGGTGTATGTGAGCAGAGGGAGTGCAGTCTAGGCCCTGGAACAAAAGGACTCATTTCCAACAATAGGAAATTCATCTTTAATTGGGCAAAAGTAATCTAAGAGAAAACAAGAAGGCTGAGGGAAAGTATAAAGACGCTTTGTAAGGGCTCCCTCAAGTCACGTTATTTAAATTCAGCAAACAAATTCTCTTTCCATTTAGTCATAGGAGCCTCCTAAGAGGTCTTTCAGATTTCTTTTTCTAGTTTTTGTTCCTTTTACAGTTGGCTATCATGAGTAATTTTTTTATCACTTTTTTATCAATGATCATTTTTTAATCAATTTATCAATGATAAAAAATTACTTCTTTTTCTCATTCTCTCAAAGGTACAGATAACAACAGCTATTTGACTTTAAGATAGCACTTGTATTAACTGGTACCAGCTTCAAGTGACATCATCTAGTTTCCTCAGATAACCAGTAACCTCAGAGATACTGCACATGCACTGCACGTGGCCACACAATTAGCTGTTGCTTTCCAAAAGCCAACAAGAAAGATTCTAGCATGTTCTCAGGGTCCTCTCCTCAATCAAGAGCCCCTTCTGGGCTGCTAGATGATCTGGTGATACAATAAAGGGAGCCCTCCTTGGAAATACAATTCTTTTATCTCGTCAGAAGCAAGCTCCAGGGACATTTATAAAAGGTGCAATGTTCCTCTGCCTATGCTCAGAGGAAGACAGGGCACGTTTAGAGCCCTGGAAACTGAGACTCACACTTAGGAGGGCCCTGTCAAAATTCATGTTGCTAGAATGAAGTTTTCCTTCATTTCCCTGAGGCGGTATTAAGTCTGAGACTAACCAGCTAGGTCAGGTACAGGCACGATTTAAATAACTTCCGACATGACAGGTCTTCGTTGGCGTGAAGAGAGAGGAGGACCTCTGAGAATGTGACAACAGCCCACACGCTGTTTGATTGTCTTTATTCAGACTTTTCCAAGGAAAAGTCTTCATCATTTCATAGACCTCTTGTCAGAGAGCTCTTCCAAGCAATAACCTGGATCCTTTCAACTACAGTTTCCAGAAAATACAAAATAGTATCATTACAAAAAACAAAAACAAAAACAAACAAAAAAAAACCCTCACAAAACCACAAACAGCAAGAAAGCCACAGAAACCCAATGCTTATTTTAGGTAAGGGCTCTAGAAGGTTCCATGGGCCATAAGCAGGCTAAAGGGAATCACCAATTCCTAGATCTTTTTACAGTGTTTTTGTGCATTGTGAGTGCACTTACCAAATACTGTTTAATCAGTCAATGAATATTATGCCTTCCAGGTGAGATATTTTATAAATTTCATTAGATAGTGTCTCTATTTAAGTATTTAAGAACCTCGAAAGATTAAACATTACCTAAAAGTGATGGTCCAAATAATCACAGGGTCTCTTTTATCTAAAGAACGTGCCAGAGCAGGGCTTCTTAAACTGTACCATGCACATGAGTCCCTGGGATCTTATCAAAAAACACAGATTCTGATTTAAGAGATCTAGTTAGGGCCTGAGATTCTGCATTTTTAACAAGTTCCCAGGGTGTTGAGGCTGCTGGTTCCAGGGGCTACACTCTGGAAGTTCATGGAGTCCACATGTAAGTGACGTCCTTTCTTTTTTTCTTTTAAGATTTTATTTATATATTTGAGAGAGAGAGAGAGAGAGAGAATGAGAGGGAAGGGGTCAGAGGGAGAAGCAGACTCCCCGCCAAGCAGGGAGCCTGATGTGGGACTTGATCCAGGGTCTCCAGGATCATGACCTGAGCCAAAGGCAGCTGCTCAACCAACTGAGCCACCCAGGTGCCCCATAAGTGATGTCCTTTCAAAGCAAAGGCCCCAAGGTGCATCCCCTTACCTTCTTCGACTATTGACAGCGATGCAAACGGCAAGAATCAAAGCCAAGGCCAGGAGGGAGGCCAAGATGATGAGCCATTCTGGTGAGAGTGAACCAATAGACAACCATGAGCTTGGGAAATACACTTTGTAAAAACAAAAATGCACTTTATAAATTGATCTGCTCCAAACAAGAGCTATACTCAGCACCACAGGCGAGTCCAGCCAAAGGGCCCTGCCAGCTGGCAGATAACGCCAGACCAACTCTGCTATAGGTGTCTGCCCAACAGGGCTCTTATTTTGAACTCTGACCACCAGTCAGAATTTTCAAGTTCCTCCAGGAGAAGCATGTCTCCAAAAAAAGCATAGACTGACCTGTAGAAACCTAAATGCCTTTGGCACAGTGAGATTAAGGAGACTAAAGGAAATTTATGTTTCCCTCAAAAGGAACTTTCCTCTTCTATATAAGAGCATCCACCTTGTGTTTTATTAAGAAACACAAATGGGGGCCATGCCCTAGTGGGTGAAAAGAGGACACCCCTGTGGAAGGCTGAATTTCTGCACATTCAACAGGGCAGCGGGGTATGTGTGGGGTCATTTGGCAAATCTTATCCTTCAAAATGCCCATGCCTTTGATTCCTGCTTCTGGGAATTGATAGGACCTCAGAATTCGTTTTGAAAGATGTTCATTGCATGCTATTTCTAATAATAAAATTTGGAAACAACCTAATGTAAGAGTAAGGGATCAGTTACCGGAATTAGGTCATACCCACTCTATTCTGCACAGTGAGAACAGGAGAAGAATATTTACTGACATTGGAAAGCCGCAGGCAACCCGTTGGGAGTGGTGGTGGTTCACTAAACAGCATGCGTGCTGTAATTACATTTTTGTATATAAATTACATTTTAAAATGATGGGAAGGACATCTATGAAAATGGGAACCATGGCATTTCCAGACGGTAGGGGAGCTAACAAATGATTTACATTTTTGTCCTTTGGTTTGTATTTTCTCAAAGGTCTCCACGTATCACTTGTGGACTGTTAAGATGTTATATATGGGTTTTACAATCAAATTTTAAGGGGATAAAAATATGACTTGACAACTTAAATACGTTCTCTTGCCACATGGGTTGTATATCCGTGCAATGAGATAGAAGCTCATGACCCGTGAAGGATGGGAAGTCATTGGCTGGCCACTCCCCCTTGGGAGTCTTGGTTTTCCTCCCACATCCTGCTGAGGACCACCTCTGCCTGGCCTCCACCTGATTAGGTGCGGGTGGGGAGAGAGATGGAGTCAGGAGGTGGGCACGCCAACAGGTGGCCTCATTTCTGTTCTTTTCTTTCTTTTTTTTTTTAAATTTTTTTAAAATTTATTTTCAGCGTAACAGTATTCATTGTTTCTGTTCTTTTCTCTGGTCTCTCCTGTTCGTGCTCACTAGAGCTGGGAAGAGTACTGCAAATCTCATCTCCACCACCCCTCTGCCCAGGGAACCCACTCCCTCTCTCAACTTGCTCCTGTCCCAGCTGTGCTCAGGCAAGCTGAGGCAAGGGGGCAAGGTGCACCCTACATTCTTCCCTTTCCCCGAGGGAGGCTCAGCTCAGAGGCTTCTGAAGAGGGGAAAGTTAAAAAGAGAATTTACAACCCTAGGAAAACCCTTTCTTCTTTGTCACCCTACCGCCCCTTAGAAATGCTCCATTTTGACCCCAAGTCAAATAAAGAATGTGCCTTGAGTGCCTTAAACCTTGATGCTCAGGAGACCCAGGTGTCCCGGCCCTCTTACCGCATGATATGACTCATTTGGACACTTTCTTCTGTCTGGATCAGGAAAGACTGTCCCTCGAGAAACAGTCGTTTAGGGACCGGAAGAATGTTTTTACTCCCCCACACACATGGCGCTCATGTCTCCCAAGTGTCTGTAGTGTGAAACTTATATGCTGTCTTCCAACCCCAGACATAAAGCAGAAATTGGGCCGGGATAGGAAGGACCCGGGTATGGGACAGCTATGACCCTGGGTGACGGATCACTAATGTGGGAAGGAAGCTTTAGTAGCTAATGTGTCCCTTCTTTGGGACAGGCCAGGGACAGGTCTGAATATTAGCTCATTCTATTTATGGGACCCGGAAAAAAGAAAGTTGCCTTTTTTTTCCCTACCAAGTGCTCTCATTCACCTTTTAGCTTGCAAAGAATGCATTTTTTGGTATTTATTTATTTATTGCCATACAGCTTGAAACTTACCTGGAATTTGAGGTTTCCGCATAGGACCTGAGGTCGTGTTTGCCCCACCTTCTTGACTTCCACTTGAGTGTCCTAAGGGGAAAAAAATAATATCTCTCAACCAAAGTTTGCAATGCCTAACGACGAGCTCCTTACAGAGCAGCACACACAGCGAACCTCTCTACCTCCTGCATCACTATGAAGCTATTTATAGATTCAAACCACAGACATTTACAAAGTGTTACATGAAAGATTTCTCCCCAGAAGAATTGGTTTGATTAAATCCAGCGTCTGGAAATGTCACTGTTCATCAAGAACACGAGAATTCTCACCAGCAGTGCTGTGCCGTGTATAAGACCTCGGGTTCCCAGAGCCTGGGCAGCCCTAGATTCATGTCCACCTCCGCCTCTTGCTAGCGATGTCTGCTGAGTCAAGCTACCCTCTCCAGGTCTCAGTTTTCTCATTCAGAAAATGGGGATAAGGATAAAAATCCACTTTATCACAATTTCACAGAAGTTTAAAAAAGTACAGAAGAATGGGAATTATGGAGGAAAAAAAAAAAAGAATGGGAATTGTATGTAGTTGCTCCATCCTATTTCTGATTTAGGACCTTGCTACTCAAAGTATGGTCCCCAGACCAGCAGCATTGGCATCACTGGGGAGCCTGCTGGGAATACAGAATCCCAGGCCTCACCCAAACCTACTGAGTCAGGATCTTCATTTTAACAAGATCCCTAGAGGACTCAAATGCTCTAGGAAGTCCAAAGCAAATCTAACAATCGCATCCAGTGTCTTCACAGACACGAAAATAAACATTAAAAAATAGGGGTTTCGGGGGCAATGGCCCTTTCTGTCTGGGAAAAATCACCCTATTAGAGGTCCTGCTAATATGTTATTGAAACATGCCTTGTTTTCAGAGGAATGAGTATTTTCTACCACTACAAAACAAAATAAGGAAATAAAGCATCTCAAACTGGAAGGAAGCGTCGCAAGACAAAGAACCCACAACTCTAATCATCAAAATGAGGGAGGCATTGTGTTTTAAAAGAAACTTCTAATCCCTCTTATGAAGAGACTCACCGAAGTTAAAGCTTTGTCTTTTGTGTTTTATGCTCCCTCCACTGCTTCAAAACATAATTTGAAAATATCTCACAAAAGTGAACTTGCTCCCTCCTACCCGTGGGGAACCCACTGCAATATTCTGAAGTCTACCAAGGGAAGGAGAAGCAAATCAGGGCAGTCTGTCTGGTTAAGCAAGGGATGAAGATGGCCAGGGGTGGATGAAAGGATGATGTCTGCGAAAAGTCAAACTTTAGACAGTGGACAGTGAAATTTTGATGATGGTGGTTATTCTGGAGAGGATGACTCCTGTTTGTGCCATCTGGTGTATTTGTTAAACTCAAAATGGAACAAAACAAATTCTTACCAGACCTCTGGCCGTTCAATACACCTCACGCCACTAGGACAGTGGCCTTAAACTTTGCAAACCTCAGGAATCCAAGGTGCTTTTCCTAGCTGCCCCCACCCCCCAGGGCTCTTGGTCATTGGCACGTCTTAACCTGCACAGGTCATTGGCACGTCTTAACCTGCACAGGTCATTGGATGTTGGCCATCTACACTGGAGATCTTTGGGCTTGAAAGCCCATCTAAGCAGTATAGTCTCTCTCCCTGGTCTTCCTCTGACTCATAGCAGCCTTTGATATTTGAAAAGGAGGCCACTAATGGATCATAATCTCTTTATTTTGGTTTTCAAAAAAAGCGCTCCCAGCAAGGAAAGATCTGGGTGTGTGTACAACAAGATGAAACCTCCCACCTGAACAATACACACCTGCACAGGAGTCAAACAAAAGAGACCGCTCCCGCCCACCTGATTCTCACTTCAAGCGAAAGCCAGAGAAGATGAACGAGATAGAGCAGGCCTCACCTTGCGCCCTAGAGGTCTGCAAATCCAGCCAGAGCAGGGCTGGCTGGGAAAGCAGGCTCTGCCAAGACGGACACTTGACACTGTAATTTGGAGATGAGATACAACCTGAGACGTGTGCACAGAGATAATTCAAGTGGCCTTGACTGTGAGAAAAACAGTCTAGGACAGAGTTTCTCAAACTTCAGGGCACATACAAAACACCCAGTGTTGGGGGAGGCCTAATTAAAATGCAGACATTGATTCAGTAGGTCTGGGATAGCTGGGGATTCTGCATTTCAGCCAGCTCCGAGGAGATGTCCCAGTGCTGTTCCAAGGATGACAATTGGATTAGCTCTCTCTTGATTTCAGAGAGCATGGTTGTAATAATAACTCCCTATCATTTCCCAAAATTTTTCATTTTCCTGATAGTTCCCATTCTTCAAAAAAAAAAAAAAAAACTCTGGGAGGTAATAGAGGCAGGTGTCCTGATCCTCTTTTTTACTAAAAAGGAAAACTGAGTTGGGGAAAGGCTAAATGGCCCATCCAAGGAACGTAAAGAGCTTGGGACTTTTGTCTTTACTTTAGAAGCATTTCTAATGAACCCTTCTATCCCGTGCTCTTGCATGAAAGCTTATTACCAAGCCACCTTGTAAATAACCGTCTACATATTTGCTTTAAGTGTGTGAATCTTTAGGCCCGGAAGCAACTGCAGCCCTGACTTGGGCACGAGGGGAAGACCATGGTCCAGATGGATTCCCTGGTTTTCATGGGGTCACCTGGACTAATGATATCAGGGTCACCGGTATCGGAAGAACCTTTCAGTGGTCCCAGCATCACCAGTCACAAGTAAACCTGCCTCATGTCAGACTTTGGTGCCTGCAGTAATGTTTCCAGGACTGTGATCTGAGTCACAGCAAACATGTATCCATTTAATAATACGTGCCTGGCAGTAATTATGGTCATTATGGAGTGTTTTCTCTAGAACATACTTATAGAGGCAATATGAGACTCCAGGGCTTGAAACCCAGCTCCACCACTCAACTCACCAGTCATGTCAACCCAGCCAAGGTACTTGCCCTCTTGGGGTCTTAGTGTCCTCGTCTGGAATATAGGGATGCTAACCATACTTTCAGAGGTCACAGGGTTTGTAGGATGATTATATAAAGTAATATTAGGTGAACCATACGGAATCGTGGATATTTGACTATTGGCACAAAAATGGCAGCTTCATCTGGTCCACCCTAGTACATGGAAAGTGTTCAGTACAACACCACCAGCACACCGTAAATTCTCAGTAAATGCTAGCTACAGTGCCATGTGCTGGGGTTTATGTTAAATGCTTTATACCTATTTCATCATTTAGTCCTTAAAACAATGCCCTGTGACAAGTATTATTATCTTGTTTTTAATTATTAGGAAACTGAGTCTCAAATCCCTTAAGCAACATCCTTAGTATATGCAGGAGCTGGGGTCAAGTCCAGGCCATTCATACTCCAAGACCCATGTTCTTAATCAGGCTGGAGCATATAATGCGAAACTGAGACCCTGCCTGAATTCTTCCCGATCCTTCCACATGGAAGACTTCTCTCCAACACAGTCCTTCTCAAAGTGCGGTCCTCGTCCCTGCAGCATCATCAGCACCAGGGAACTTACCAGAAATAGACCTACCACATCAGAAACCTGAAGAATGGGGCCCGGCAGTGAGATTTAATAAGCACTCTCCATGATTGTGATGCGTGCTAAGAAAGTCTGAGAACCACTCTTCTCGAGACACTGACTCATGCTTTATTAATCATCAGCAGGCTCAATGATGATAATAGCAAATGACTACAGTAGCACAAACTCACCAGCTGATTCTGATCCATGAGTGGTATGGGACGTTCCACTGTGGTGAACCGATGAGTCCTGGTCTTCTGTAAAGAGTAATCAGAACAGGCTCATTACTGGATGTTCTCCGCTACATCCTGCATTTCCTCACTTTTGTAATTTCAGACATCTTATCACCAAGTTTAGTGTTTAAAAGGTCACCAAAAAACCAATGGCAAGGAGCCTTGAATGGCTCCATGGTACTGATTACTGTTCATTGCTGGATTCACTGGCTAGGGATTTTAATCAAAATGAAAGAAACTGGGACAGCACAAACCATCCAGGATGACCACAGGAAGTGTGGTTTTGGTAGAAATCTAAGAACATAACACTCTAACAAAAATATTATGATGTCTTCACAGATCTGAGGTTGGAACTTGATACTGTGTCTTTGAAATAAAGACTATATGCTTTGAATTACACAAATGTGATTACTGGGAGTATGTGTACTCTCTGACTCAGAGGGTGAGCCACTTAAAGAGATTTCTCAGAGGCAGGAAATAGAAAATGGTTTTGGTGTGCAGTAAAGGATCTTGGTGTTGAGTTATGTAAAATTTCAAAGGGAAAGGTCAACTGCTTATTTAGGGAAAAAGAGCCTGAAGATAAGTGAAAAAGGAGTAAGATGAAGAGAGCTAACATGTAAAAAATGTGGAACTATGTTTTAAAAAATAACATTTTTCAAAATATAAATTTGTATTTTCAACACCAAGAGTTAATATAATCCCATCGTCCCAAATATCTATCACCAAAAGGCTTTAAATTGAGACAACCTTATGAACTACTCAAATCAGGGTCCACAGGCCAAATCTGGGATTCAGCCTATGGAAACCCCTCCTCCTCTACCTCTTCCCCAGATATTTTCCAACATGCTGGAATCTTAAAAAACAAAACAAAACAAAAGCAAGACAACAACAAGACAAACAATAATAACAACAAAAAGGGACAATGGTTTCATAAATGGCTATAGTCACCTCTTATGAAGACCTGTAAGGAAAATACAGTAATCTGATCATCACCATTTCCTTGATTAGAGAAGGCAGAAGTAGGCATCCTGTCACCTCTCATGTAACTGTATAGAGGAGACAGCTTCTTTTGTTCCTTAGTTAGAATACTCAAAAATAGCATTTGTTAAAATGCCAACACCAGTACCCCCAATATCACCACCACCACTGTCACCACCATCGTCACCACCACCAGCACAATGGCAAATGTTTTAGTTCTTAATATTAAGCATCAAAACAGAGAAAAATGTATGGGAAGAAATAAGCTTTATCTGAGTGGCTTGGAAGAAAATCAAGGATGACAGTTGAATCACTTACTAATCATTTAATCCATGAAGAACCACAGAAAATCTGTTTGACCATGGAACAGAAGGAATCCACATATGTGAGTATCAATTTTGTAGAAAGCATTTTATTTACTAACAAATAGGCTATGTAACCGTTCCGCGATACTATTACTTTGCAAATTGCCATTTGAAATTTAAATTCATTTGATTGAACCACAGTCCTTATTCTGCCAAGAGAAAAGAGCAGTGCTCTAAGATTCATTTCTTTGGAAGAAAACGGACAATGTTTCTTGGGATGTTTCATAACTGAGGGCAGAACCATGCTGAATAATTAATCAAAGGGTGTGAGGAGCTTTGTCTTGCCAATATCACCAAAGTTAGTACTTTTAAAAACTGCTTTTCTGGAAGCTCTGGGTGTGCACCACAGAGGAAAGAATCCAAGCACTTGGCATTCTGAGTCTTCTGTCCCCATTTCAGTTAGAGCATCACAGATGTCATCTGTTTTATATACTGGGTTCTCATAAGACTTATTCATTTTTGGGGGGGAGGAGAGGCAGACCTTGCTACAGATATAAATATATATATTTAAAATCACAAATCTTTAATATAATTCAATGGTTGAGTGGCAGGAAATACTTGAATCACTGAATCACTCTCATGAGGAGGAGAGATTTTAATTCTCATTTCTTGTCAGAGTAATATTTCTAGTTCTTTTTTCTTCAATGTAAGTTTCTTAATGCAAATGAAGGAACAAAGAAAGGGAGAAGTAGGGAGACTGGTTATTTGAGAAGTCTCACTTTCCTTTTAGGTCCGTGTCCAACTTAATTGAATAAGGCATTTTTAATCATCCCTTTGTCATTGCAACAAGAGAAATCATGTCTATTTATTATTAGTAGATTAAATCATAAAGTTTGAGGTGTGAATCATAAGTAGGTTTAGCCACAAGCCCTTCACCGAAAGTAAAATTCACCAACCCATCACCAGTAAAGAAAAAATTTCAGAGCAAAGATATTAGCATATGTAAATTATTCACATGTTGGGTAAAGCCGTAAGAAACAGGTAGCATATCTGAGCTGAATCAAATGAAATTGCTAATATTTAACGACTTTGACCTACAAAAGTATTGATTTCATATGGCTCAAGTCAAGATATCACAAGATTAGGAACAAAGAAAGAAATTCTACCATAACAACCAAGTCACAAAAATAAACGGAGACTATACTGGCAAATAAAAGCATTATTTATCTAAAATAAATCTAACTTTATTGGCACTAGAATGATGACCTGTGATAAAGGCCATCCCCAAATCACAAATCGGTCTAATCACAGCCCACAGAGAAAGCGTCCCCCTGTAGTATGAGAGTATGCGCTGTTTCTCTCTTTAGAGAAATCAAACCGGATGACAAAGGGCCAAGTTACCTGAAAAGAAATGAATAACGTTAGAATTGGGATCTACAGCGATATTGACTTCAGTAACTCCAGGGGACCCCGTGTTGGCAGGGGTCACTGGGATGAGGGTCCTGTATTCCCCCGTGGCTGGTGAGTGAGAAGTAGAGCCTTCCACTGAAGTAGCTGAGTCTTCAGGAAGATGTCCACCTCTTCTTCCGCCTCTGCCATCAGTCCTATCTGTGTGGAGGTGGGATCAATGGTAAGCCCATGATTGTGAGGCCACCCCCCCATTGGGGGCTTGTCTTCAGAACGTGCCAGTGCTGCAAAAGCTTTCCACTTGTTATTCATGAGTATGGAGCAAAAGACAGTGCAGTTCGTTCCTACTATTGAACAGAAGCGATATTTTGCCATCAGCACCACCTGGACATGATTCAGTGGAAGAGATTCCGGTGGATCCCAATACCCAGGAGAGGCATTTGTCACAACCAACATGTGCCTGGATTGTTAGCCACCACAACTGTGACCTTGAGGTCAACTCAGGTACTAGACAGTCTTGAGCTCTTACTCAATTGGACCAGGCTTTGATGAAGTGGAGAAAACACATCATTGAAATAACAAGTAAACTTCTGCTGCCTGCATATGGAACCGTAAACGCCAGGGCTCAAAACCGTGAGGCTTTCATTAGTCTTTCCTTTGCCATAAGGGCTCTGCTTCCAGCATCATGGGCATATGTCCAGAGGATGAAGGCAAAATAACATGTTGATGAAAGGAAAACAGAGTGATAGAATTCAGACCTTTACACCAATTATAAATCATATATAAGCGATTTTGAAACCATGCCACTAACTCTAGAGTTTAAGAAACCTGACCTTTAAGATTAAGAAATACACATTGCACTGAATGTACAATAGCTTCTAAGAGGCCTACAAAGCAGAAAAATCAAAGAACCATCACCAGCCGCACCTTGTGATCAGAAGTAACAGCACAACAGCAGCCACCTGATGTACCTCCACCAAAGACACTACAGAAACATCCATAATTTACAGATTTTTATACAGAGCTGAAGGCTACAGGGCTTTACCATCCTTACTGCTAGATGTTGGAGCAGAAGTCACTGGCTGGTCTTTATCTTCTTCCAAGCCTCCATGTGAGGTAGAGAAGCTCTGAGTCTGACTCTGCTCTGTTTCAACGAGGGAGGAATCCAATGTTAATTTGGAGCCATGAAATAAAGCCTCTATTATCTTCCAGGAGGGAGAAACTGGCTAGAGCTAGTGTCGATGGGTGGGTGCCTAGGAATGCCCAAGTTTGTGTCCACCATTCTCCTCTGATTGCTAGAAATGTACAACAGAATTGTTTTGTCTCTAATTGGCTCCTAAGAACCTCTTTTTCAGTACAGTCAAGAGAGGTAAAGTGCCAAGGCGAAGTCTGAGCCGACACTCTGTCCCCCCAGATCATCCTGGCCCGAGGGTAGCACTTAGGAAAACCAGGGAACACAGAGACAGGGAAAAGGGAATGGCTGAATTCTGGTGTTCCTGTACACAGTCAAGGGCACCCAGCTGTGGCTTGAGATGTGGGACTGCAGGGAAATGAACACCAGGATAGCAGAGAGCACACTTCTCACGACCAAAGGGGAGGAAGTTCTAGAATCTAGAAAAACCTGCTCAAGTAACTCAGATCAAATTTACACAAAGAAATCTGAAGTCCCTTCTAAAGAAGATTAAATTGAAGTTAGTGTTTTATTCTGTTATTAGGTTTTTGATCTTGTCTATGAATGAGGATTCTCTTCACTGCACTGAAACGTCAGGAAATGCTCGACTGGGCAAACACAGGGCCCCTACTGACATACACCAATTTGAGGTTGAACCACTGCCCATATCTGAAATCACTTTGACTGTTTTGAGTTGATTTCTCATGTGTTCTTCTAAGGAAGGGACTGACCTCTGAGTTACAGGTGCAAGCATTCCATAAAGCACATCCATAAGCCACGTCCACCACCAAGTAAACATGACAACCAGGAGAAAGATGGTCACCAAATCCCCATCCCAGTACCAGAATAAAAGTCAGAAGGGACATAAAGTAGAAACACAAGGCCCTCCACTGGAGGGGACCTTCTTAGTCTTCTCTCCATCTCCTTTGATTCTTAACACTATGCTACCTACATTCTTGGTGATCAAGACATGCTTGCACTCACAGGAAGGAGTCTGCCCAGTATGTGTAGCAAGCAGTGAAATGAAGCCCTCTTAATTCTGGATTTCTTTCATACTGCCAAGAAATTGTGAATGACTTCAGGCTGATCTCTAGGATAGCCCTGTCCATACAGTGGCAATTAAGGCCACTAAGAGTTTAGCATTGCTTCTCCCAGACGTTGAGTAGTAGGAAGAGATATGAGTAAATGTTCCTCTTTTGTTCCCGGGCCCTGGCACCTTTGTTAATATTCACAGCATGTCTTGCCCCTCTTCTGTGGGCTGCTAGAATTTCCCAATTTTATATGATTATCTGGCCCCAAAATGTCTTTTCACAACCAAGAAAGCGACCCTACTCCTCTTCTGCTTGATTGGAGGAAAGATGGGAACCAAAAGGAGATGGTTAAAACATAGAGAAACCACTATCTTAGGCATGGTCTTGGGTTGCAGTCATGTAACTATTTAGAGAAGGAAAATCAAGTGGGGTAGAATCCCACAATCGTTTTCTTTTTCTTAACATAAAGTCATGTGTCTGGAAATCACCAAGAATGCAGGCAAAAACCAGATTTAAAGAGCCCACCAAGAAAATACAGATAACGAAGACCCTTTTATACTCCAGGGTTGAACCTCTCAACTGCACCTATCTACCACCAAGCTCTGCTTCCAGGCCAGTGGGAAGAAGAGCTGAAGCAGGACTACAAGCCAGCAAAGGGGTTATTATATCCTTACGAGCTGTCACTGAAAGAGGTCCTGTCCTGTCCAATTCTTCCACCAAATGTGTGTTTGGATCTGCAGAAGGCTGATGTGTTGTACTATGGCTGGAGTCCATATCTGAAGGAATCAAACCAGTGTTAATGCTCAATTTATTAAGCCACTCCCTGAGGGTGGTTCATTGTCTCTAGACAAACTATTTTCATATCCAAACCCGGATTAGAGGGAAAAAAGTACGTACTGATTCAGGTCTCCAGAACTGGAACAAATGATGACTTCTTTAAAAAGTATCATAAGAAGTAACTGGTTTTCCTTTAAACACAAAGTGTACGAAAGGTGCAATTTTTGTTTATTTTTGCTGAGTCTGGAAGGACTAAATGAGCATATGATATGTCTCTCAAACCTTGCAAAAAAACCGGAAACAAAGCCTCTGTGTGACTTGTCCCATGCCATACATCTTGCCTCCCTTACAGACACATGTGATCTGGATCATGGAGAAAAGACAAAGTGTACTGTTTCAGCACCATTTTTTCACACCTCCTTCCCTTACTTGGCAAAAGAACTTTCCTTCTTCCTTTTTTTTTTTTTTTTTTTAACAACCCTCTTCTCTCTTTTGGTCCTTTCTGCTTCCCAAAGAGAACATGCATATAACGCATAAAATTATCATCCAAACTATTTACGTGGAAGTCACGGGAAGCATTTAGGGGCAAGAAATAAGCAGTAGAGGTCAGTGAATCATTCTCCCCATAAACACAAGTATGAGGTCTCTCTGGAATTTAACATGTACCATGTTGAGTGATACACAAATGTCACTGAAACATTTAAATGTGCTGTTTCTAGTAAATATCACGAATCAGTGTTGCTGGAATAACAAGTCCTGAGGGAAAGAGTGGCCAAACAATCCAAGAGCCCCATCACTGTTGCTCAAAGTTCACCCACACTGCTACATCCGGACAGACTTAATCAGGTCCAGATGACTCCAGAGGGAAACGCCAGAACACTGGGCACTCGCATATCTACACCAAAACCTTCACATACAAGAAAAGATCTTTGTAGGACATCAAAATCTTTGTAGGACGAAATGGGGCTGACTGTATTATCCCAGGTTTCAACAAGGAGGAAAGGCTAGTTAACCCAAATCAAAACCCCAAATGGATATTCTCCCAGAAAAGTCCTGTCTGTTGAAAGTCTCTAGACACTCTTGCTCATCCTCCCTTTTGTAAATTAGACTCCTACAAGATGTTTTGCACTGTTCTATGGTTAAAGCCCATTGTATTGAAGCCCATTGACATGTTCAGTTCAATAGGCTCTTTCTGTTCATCAGTATGGAGGCTTAATATTGATCCAGAAGACATTTTTTACTGGCTTGGCTTTCCACCATGGATATACCAGAGCCTCAAGCAGTCATGTGCATAGACATGAATGTTGGGTTTGCATGTGGTACTTCAACCCCGCAACCTAATGTCCATGACCTAGACATTCAAACTCATCTTCCATTATTACAAATGGACCCAGTCACTCTGAAAAATTCATTCCTTGGTTTCCCTTCCTTTATCCCTCTCCTTACATGAGTCTCCTTCCTATGAAATGTTCCCCGACTTCCTTTCTCTGACTATCCATATTTCTTTCCATTTTTTGAAAAACCCAGATTAGACCCATCTTTCTCTGACACTCTCTGGAGGGTCCTCTGAATGTTTGTGTTTATTGTTGGCAACATTCATTTGATATCTATTACCTATTGTCCAGTATTGTTAGATATATTCTGATTTATCATCGATGATAAGTGTTTTCTTTTCCTAGCTTTATTTTAAATTAGTTAAGGGCATGGAACATGGTGTATCTACAATGCACTGCACATTAGAAGATATTTAATACAACTGTAGCTTAAGGGATACCTAATCATTAATATTGGGGTACAGCATAAATAAATGAGGCCATAGAAACTGTGGGATTCATTTTGGAGATAATTTTGTCCAATTCAATATCAAGGGACATCATCATTGTGCTCTTAGAACACATTTCAATACAGTCTAAGTTATGCATACCCTTGGCTGTTTGGATCTAGATAATATATTCAATGCTATGACTGAAAATTCACATCCTTCTATTGACTCTTTTGGTTTATCTCCCTTTTTGGAATGTGACATTTCTGCGATCAAGACATCTTGTCAAATAATTAAAAAAAAACTTGAGTAACTCAATTCATGGGTATAGTAAGGAGCATCAGTTCTTCAGTCTGGTAAAGACTGAGAAAAGGGATGACACCGCCTGCTGCCAGCTCCTACAGATTCTCTTGGGAAAGCTGTCATCTGTTCTGATAAAGAAAGAATTCCTTTGGAATATAAAAATTAGTCAAATATAATCACAGTCCACCATTCTTGAAGAACTACAGCTAGTATCTTTTTTACTTTCTTTCATTTCTGTTTTTAACTGCTTATAGGTAAATAAGAATGGTATTTAAGGAAATGGGGATTCCATTCCGTATAAAAGTTGTCCATTCATTACATTTGAAAACATTTATTGAGGGCCAAGAGTGGTCTAAATCCTAAGTCACTGGGTGCTGTATTTCTCTCTAAATGTAGAAAGAGTGAATAATAATGTTTTCTGAGTTTTTCAGTTACTTGTTTGAAATGAGTACTCGCCAATGTTTGACCTCCAATATTTCTCTACCAAGGACAAGTTATGTCTTTGGGTCTACAATGAAAATAGTCACTGAATTGATGTAAAAGAAATCTTAAGACTGCTCCTTCTTCAGAGAAAATAACTTCCACTCCCACCATCTTAGAACTAATTCTTTTTTAACCTTCTGGCCGAATTCTTCAGTCTCAGTCTAGGATTTCATATTCAGATGAATATCCATATCACCCCTACTTAGAAAACTAATTTTTAAAGAAACTTCAAGTTCCTTAAGGAAGCAGACTGGTCTAAAATCAAGGGCACATTTCTAGGTAAATAGCTATTGGGTGGCTTTCAAAAACAGCATATAAAAAAGCTCAGAGGCTATTACCCATCCATCTTTCTGTTTGATGACCTCGTCCCATTGGATGTGAGATGGGGTCAAAGAAATACGTCCAGGAGCTGTCCTCTTGACTCTGCGTTGTCGTTCTTTGATCTAGATGGCCGTCTTGGGCTGGGGCTGTTGTGAACATGTAGTTCAAGCAAGTGTCAAAGTCTTAGCTGACATCTGGCCAGGGATACACATGCTGATAATGTTAAAAAGACTTAACTCTCTAGATAAGACAATGAAAGCATCTTCCTGGTATAGAGGGTCAAGAAGTTGTGTAAACACAGACTGTTTCAGCAGGTCTGGATTTGTTCATGCTCATTTACTTAGCATTCAGCATGTGAACCAAAGGCTACGAAAGCATTAATGATCCCTGCATGAATAGAGGATGAGTTACAGTCATCACGTGAAGATAAAGAAGTAGTTCTTGAACCACATGCCATATGGTCACCATCGCCTAAAGGAGGAAGTATCTGAGCACATGATGTCATTCTGAGACAACCCCATCCCAGGGAAATGCACATCAGGCTGGCAGTGATTTGAGGAGGAATTGGGCTTCCCACAAGATAAACCTGAAATAAGTAACATTCATCTCAAAAGCATGAATGGAATCCATTAGAAGCATTACGTTCTAACAATGGGATTCACAGCTCAAGGGACATATAAGAATTCAGCACGTGTTTTTGCTTCATTCTGAGCCAGTGGAGATATATACGTAGAGAAGAGTCCAGTTCTAGCTCCTTAGTACCAACCACTAGCCAGTCACTGAATCCACGTCTCTGCCAGGGACGCATTCAGAAGCTGCGACACCCCGCAAGGACATTCTGCATTACCTTCTATGTCGCAAATGGAAACAGAGGACTATTCTGATACCAAGTGAGAATACGGAATTCATATGCTTTTACAAGACAGGATGCATCTCCATGTTTCTGCCACACAGACAAAAGAATCATGCACTGCAGCTTGCAGAGCCAAAGTCATCTGGCATCACTTAGAGATGATGGCAGAACTCGAGTCCAAGTTCCACAATCCCACCAACAACAGAGAAAGTGTGTTTCTAAATATAAGAAGAAAGCATGGTTCTTTCAAAGAGAAATCTCCAAATAGATAGGACCAAAGTGCTAAATGACATCAGACAGGTATTTTTCTAACGATCTGGCTCCATTTCTTCCAACATTAGGATTCTGACCAAATGTGTTCTAATGTGCCCAGTATTTCATAAAGCCATGTTATAGATTCCGTCACAAGACAAGAGGGAGTATTTGGTCAGATCGGAGTCTCTGCCACAATCTCATTGGGAGATGCCCAAAACTAGACCCGAAAGTGACATACACAAAAGACATATTCTCTAGGTCTCCTATGTATGCTATATCCATTCCTGTTTTGGTGATTTGTTCTGTGCATCTAAGGATTGGCTCTGTATTGCCCATATTAGAATTTATTTAGGAACCTTAATATCTTGTGACAATTCCTTAAATGTCTTTCTATTCAGTGTCCTTAATGCTCAATATTTAACCCAAGAGGAAGCTTCCACCCAAGTCTGCTAGTTAAACAATCCATTACCAGCTGCCCCTGCTGCTGAATGAGAGTCTTCTTTTGGTGATTGGGAGTATTCCCCATGCCACCCTTTCTCCACCCACTGCTCTTTTGAGGGTAGCTCTTTCTTCCATTGTACTACTAGGGATTCCCTGAGCTGTGAGAAGAATGTCAGCTGGGAGCCATTATTGTTCAATTTCTTTACCAACACATATCTTAATACTTTAAGGCCATATACACATGGGAGAGAAAAGGTAGAAAAGGAAAGCAGCATGGAAAGAGATCACTGATATTCTGAAAGAAATATTAGAAATCAGTGGCCCAATCCTTCAATTTTTCAGATAGGAAAACTGGGACCCAAAGTAGTTTTGCTCAAAATCTTACAGCCAGATTGGCACACACAAAGTTAGGGCTGGACCACAGTCTATGAATTTCCAGTACGATTCTTGGTTTACCATACTCTATGGCCTCATATATCCTCGTCTGAGAGCACTGTGTGTTCACAGAATTAACCTTTTTGCTCCCGTGATTGGGCGGGGGGGGGATGTATTATATATACCAACTGATGACAAAATCAGCATGGTGGGAGGCCTTCTCAAATGGTGGTCACATAATCCATGATCACATGCACTGGAAATGCACCAGCAGTGGATTTGCCCAGCATGAAATAGGTTGACAATGATGGGCACATTATGAGGTTATGTCTATGTGGTATCTAAAATTGCCAAAATTACTTTTTAATGAAATGAAGTCAATGGAATAAAACTATTCTAGCCAATGTTTGGCATTATATAAACAATAGGAACGTGTGACAAGCTAAACATTTCAACCCCTCGGTGTTTTAATTGCTCAGTTTTAAAAAGAATAAATTGAATGGAATAAAATTGTATCAGGTTATCTTTGGGAAAAACCAGAAAGCCAGGGTCATTTTCATTTACAGCAACTAACAGCAAACTTTTAGTTCAATAAGAAAATGAGAGCCTATAACCTTGCCAAGCCAAAGTATTTTTTACAACTGGTAAGACCAGTTGTATTTCATAATTTTAGAAAATGATATGTGTGATTTGATAATAAGAAAAATCTTAAAAAAAATACAACTTGTGTCCTCATTTTACCCTTGCATTGGCCAGAACATTCCTGGGGTTAACTGGTTATCCAGAGGGAGGAAAAAGAAGTCTCAAATCTTGTTTTACCTCCCACTGACTAAATCACTACCTCCTGACAAATAATGAAGTTAGAAAAACTATGAACTTAATTACCAAAAAGGGGAAAGTAACCCAAACATAAACTGTCTATTCAAAATCTTTTAGAAAAGAAAGAAAAAAGACGGAAATATATGTGCGCGCATGCACATACACACACGCACACACTACACTATCTTCATAAACATAACACTCCTTTGAATATCCAGTTTAAATACCCACTGTTTTCAACATATGGATTAGCAGAATATAGGATTTCCAGTGTAAAATATGAAGGTTGAATCTCTTCTAGAAGCTGTAATGTCCTTTGATAAAGCCCAGAGGTCACCAACCAGAATCTGTTTATGTTTTGCAAGTACTAAGTGGTTACTGCTTTCCCTTTTCCTCTGTGAGGTTCTGTCACATCTGGCTTTTCAACTACCCTCCAGGAATGATGTGCCCCCCCATAACCCCCCCACAACCTTCTGACAATGGGCTCATTAATTCCAAGCCTCTCATGTAGCTATCTTCTTTTTAAGTACAAACGGTCTTAAATTCTAAGATGTACTTTTAGGTTCCAAGGGGGATTGGTACAGAATCCCATTCCGAAGAGACTTCTGCTTCTCACCTCCTCCTTCTATCAGAAGACTCTTGTTTGTTCAGTCCATAGTCCCCACACAAAAATGAAATCTAGTGGGATAAGTAATGAGATGCAGGCCTATTTGATGTATTCAGTACAATCCCCAGCACTTAAAACCTATGTCCTAGTTGATGTCTGAAATGTTTCTTTTGTTGTCTGAAGGTCTCCCTCAAACTCTGGGGTCTCCCTTTGGTTTCTAAGTGGCTACTTCTTACATTCTTGCTTTAAGAGTATCCAAGACTAAGGGAATGATAGTTAAACCATAGTTTTAAAGATGCTACAAGCTGTTACCCTAAATTAAAGCTTCTTTTATTCCAGATACGATGGGCATATTGCCAAGAGAGAGATAAAAGAAGAAGTGTATATAGTTCTTATTTTCTTTGGTCCCGTCCTCAAGACCTGTAGTGAGACTTGAGATTGTTTGGGGAAACCTGAGATGTTGGCACTTAAGTAGGAATAACAGCATCAAAGCCTTCCCCAAGTTACTCTGGGCTTAAAAACAGAAAAAGAACAATCACAGAAATTCAAACATAGTCTCTATGAGCTACTGACCTTCTTGCAGAGAGTACAAGGGATGCCTTCCTACAGTGCAGTGAGGAACAGAATGTAAAAAAAGAAACTGGATTCGTCAGAGATCTTCACAGAAGAGAAGGATTCCGAAGATCATCGCGTTTGTCAAGCTCTTTCCAGACCCCACTGCCTGGCACCAAAAGATACACTCTTCCTCACATATTTCTATAAATACACACAAATCGCCCAAATGGAGCCTCGAAGAATCTCTAACACACAAAAAAATGTATCTCAGACCTTTAAAAAAAAAAAATTTTAAGCTTTCCACCATTTTGGCCCTTCATGCAACCTGACCAGTTGGTGTTTTTCTCCCAATTTCTGAAACTAGTGTGTAGATTTGGCAGCTTTGCATGCTCTGTGGATAAAAGAAATGACAGAAGATGTGGCTAATGTCTAAAACAAAGTCTTCCCTATTCTTTGGAAAGACTTCACTAAGTCATGGACACCAGCACTGCTGACCTCCAGCCTCCTTACTTGTGCTTGCAGGATGCTGGGTCTCCTCTTTATCGTGATGCTCATGGTGAACGAGAGGAGAGTGTGGTTCTCGGGGCCAGTTCTCTCCATTGGCGCTGGTGCCACTTTGGTCCACATCTGCAGTGATGATGGTTATATACGCTGTGACTTTTTATCAACCAACCTTTGGTGTTGTGTTCTTCCATTGAAATGCATGCTATTTAAGAGTGCCATGCCTACATAGGACCTCCGAGCATCTACGCTCAATGCTTTTGAGTGACTCCACTCATCTCTCCCAAGAGAAAAATCAATGGGTGGGAAATTTCTTAATGATTACCTGTTTTTCTACTACGATCACTTTGTCGAGGGCAGCATCATAAACTGAGCTAATGTATTTATTTTTATAATAAAGCAACATAATGTATCTTGTGCCCAGACAGTGTGATTGACGAATGACTCCTAGGTTGAACTGAGTTTCCTCATGAAAGTTAAGAATTTGTGATGAGACATGAACTACTGTTCCCACCGTGTCCTGATGATTGACCTTTGCAGTGTCATAGACTTTGAGAGGAAAAAAAATCTTTAATGAAGTATGCAAAACCCATTACCAGTCATCCTTGTAGTAGTCTGAAGTAATACTCCTGGATTCGATTCACCGGGGCTCCGCGAAGTCCAATCCTGGTTCTGTTTTGGGTGGCTAAAAAGCCGTGGTGTGGTTGGAACTGTTATAATGATGATTGAAGCAATTAGGAAAATGTTAGTTCGTGAGCCTTCACCACTTGTTCTGCACATCTCTCCCTTCTTTGGTCTATACAGTGAATCATCTGTACCAGCTCATATAGATGGTTGAGTGGAAACGGAGGGAGAGCATAGAGGACTTCAGCTTGGTTCAGCCATATTGTTAAGCACCTCAGGATCCTCTGCCTTCTGTCATAGGAGACGCTGGGGTCAGAACATGAGCTTTTCTGGAGAAAGCAGCCAAAGGAGTTGCAGCAGAAGGAAGAACAGTTTTGCAAATACCAGCCCTCCACCGAGGAGAACCAAGAACATCAGAGTTTTGGCCCATCCATGCAGTCCGTAATGGCCCTGCGCGCTTGAAAGCCCAAGGGATTGGTATCATTGGCAAGTGTGCTACAGCAAGATCCTCAGGCTGAAGAGGTAGATTCCTGAAAATTATACCATGATGATATGATCACTTTATTTATTTCGCTAGTTTTGGTGGGGAAAGGCGTACTCTGAGCAGCCACGGATTTCCTATAGATGGTTCTAAGAAAGAACATCTACCTTTAACAGCCATATGATTTAGCTGTACATTTCGGAATATGTAGCAAACACCTATGGTATTCTCATCAAATACAAAGCATTTCATGAGCAAGCCATTCATAGCCAATGAGAGAAAAACAAGATTCATACATTCAGTAGAAAAGCACCATAGGTCACCAACCACCATTATGAAGCTCTCCGAAAAAAAAAAAAAAAAAAAAAAAAAAAAGAGGCATACATCCACCAGAGGCCTGATGCTGTCACCCAAAATGATAGAGCTGGAGTAGGAGATGCACTTGAAAGAAGGATCATGACAAAATTAGGATCGGTTGCTTTAGTGAAACTATCATGTGCAAACCCATCCTAATTCTTCCAAACTTAACTTTGATACCCAACTAAATATAAAATTCTTTTCAGAACTGTAATACTATCAGCTTGATTTCACAAATGAAATTTTCAGGTTGATCTGTTTGGGTTGCCACCCAAGAAAGCTATGTTTCTCGAGTATCAAGACCACATCTATCCTCATGGTCCCACCTGGAAGATGGGGCCACATCCTGAACCCAGAAGACAGTGTGATAGTAAAGCTCCAGTGTTTTTGGTTATTTGGTTTTCTTTCTGAAGTTATTAAGAAGAGGTTACTTGTTTTATAGACCAGACTCTGCAGAGCTGTCTGGGCTAAAGAATGAGCCAGTTAAAATCTTAGATATAAAGTGTCCAGTTCATTTTGAGTATTTGTGGTATTGATGCCATATACTCAGGTGCCTCAAATCCCAAACTATTATTTTGGACTCCTCCCTTCCTGGGTGTTGTCCATGTGGGGACAGTCCTCTCAGGTTTCAGTAGGACAGTGAGAACTTCAGTGACCTGAGAGGGTCCAGTCACACTGCAAAGGTCCACCTTCTCTAAGAACAGGTGATATGGTGGCATCAGGTTCGGAATTCTCATCTCTGCTCAGCAACATCTCACATCATTACAGATATGTCTAGGAAACCCAGTCATCTGGCTAAATGTTAGACTGACCTTTGGGTATTTTTTTAAAGGATTTTTGGGGCGCCTGGGTGGCTCAGTGGGTTAAAGCCTCTGCATTCAGCTCAGGTCATGATCCCAGGGTCCTGGGATCGAGCCCCGAATCGGGTTCTCTGCTTAGCAGGGAGCCTGCTTCCTACTCTCTCTCTCTCTCTCTCTGCCTGACTCTCTGCCTACTTGTGATCTCTGTCAAATAAATAAATAAAATCTTAAAAAAAAATAAAGGAGGTTTTTTAAGAAAATAAAAATTAAAAAAATAAAGGGGGTTTTTCAGATCAATTTCCATCTCTGTTCTCAAAAAGTTTTATAACTGTCACAAGTTTGGACTATTACACAGTGTTTTCACTATTCATTTTTAATAATAGGCACTGTTTTAGTTAAAGCTCAACTGACGTTCGTCCTTCCCTTCAATGTCTTTCCATTATATTTGTGCCCTATTTGTTAAAACTAGATTTGTTCCCTTGGTTTCAACAAAGTTTTGATTATGATGATTCTTGAGTTCTGTACCCAACTTTTAAGGCTTTCTAGGGCCATCTAAGTCTTTAATGTAGAATCACCTGCAAGCTTTAATTAATATCCTCGCACTCACATTCTATTGTTTCAGTAAGCCAGAGTTTGAAGGCAAAAGCTCTGGCATTTTTCATCTTTGTGTTGCCAGCACCTAGCACAGTAGGTATACAATAAATACTTGTTGTAATGTTTTACTATGTCATTCCCTGTCAAAGCTCAATAATTCAAGAAGAATCTGCAGCAGCAGACCACATAAGTAAACAAAACAGAAAACCTGAGGCATTAGTTTTATAAAAGATATTTTCCACATTTATCCTCCAAATATGTTTTGGCTTCCATTTTTTTAAAAAGCCATTTTTCTTCCTTCATACTCTTACCAAGGTATGACTAAAGTGTGGTCAGTCATAAGTTTATGCTAATTTTCCACAATAACTATTTCCCAAGGTAGACACTATTGGGCATCACTCAGTTTAATTAGTAAGCCTTGCATAAATGGTTCTACTGTAATTGATTATTCTTACTGGTGCTGGAGATAAAATCTTCATCATCATCAATGCCTGATCCAGAATAACTGGGGTGTTTGTCTCTTTCATCTTCATTTTCTTCAGTTGGTTCCCAGCCTGCTGAGATGATACTTGAATCCGTACCTGTTGTGGTGACTTATGTTAGTGGCTGAACTGGATGCCAAGCAACCCATTTGACAAAGGAAGAAAATCAGGCACAGAATGTATAATGAGTTCCCAACACTTTAAGAAGAGAGTGAGACATCTGATTTGTGTTGTCCAAGATTATCCTGGTCTCTGAAGCTAAGGCATAGATCTTAAAACAATTGGCTATGACCTTTACAACCGAACGATCTCCTTAAGGAAGTCGGAAGAATAAATATGGACATAACCCCACCAAAGAAACAAAAGAAAAACAGGCCAATAAACACTGCCCCCACCCCGTGCTCTCAGATTATTAACTTATTAAGCATGTGCCATTAAAGCGAAAGTGTCAAGACTAGAATGGAAAGGTTTCACATGTGCCCATTTGTTGTATCAGCCACCTTCAGAAAACTATCAGAACCTAAACACATGTCCACCATTTTTTAAATCTCATAGATGTATCATGATTTGTTAATTCATCTGCTGACCTTCTCCAGCATCACATCACCAGAGCTCTGAACACAAGCTGAGCTACCATCCCAACAACAGTGCAGCATCCAGTCATAGCAAAGTTAGTCAATTCACAGAGAAATCAAGCCTGGCATTTCTCAGTCTACCAAAAGGGTGGACTAAAGTGGACTGGAGCCAAGATTTTGAGAAATTCTCATGTTTTCCCTTCCGGACACATCAGAGGAAAGAAGATGGTGACCTGTGCCTCTTCTCAGTGGTTGCTGTAGATGTCTCTTTCCTGAAAAGGGGTTTCCTATCATTTGACTGAGAGTCATGCTATCTTTTGGAGTGACCATTTGTCTTTTCTTACTACTAGTAGCTGCCCCAAGAATAGTTCCACTGATGGAGAGTTTCTATATTTTTCTAGTTCTAGCTATGTTATTTTATTTCCTCTTGGAAAGTCAGAAATTTCTAATGGCTTTTGTCTCTTTGGAATATCTTTCAGAGCCAAAATTTTGTTCTGTCATCAAGAAAGACTGGCCCCCTTTCATAGTGCTCTTAATAGCCTTCTTCAGGCCTGTATTAATTCTATAGAATAAAAAGAAGAAATCTACTTATTAGTGTTATCAACTCAAACATATGGGTCTCTGAGCTCATGACCCTTTGAAAATCATCAAAAACATGTGTGAAACCAGAATGCATTTCAGACTTAGTATCCCTAAGGTCAATGAACTATTGAAAACTGTCAAGAGATCTTATGAAATGAGATAATAATAACTCATTACCAGCCATTATCGTTGTTGTGTGAAGATGATTCTTGGACTCTGATGGTTGAAACCACCATGAAAGCCAATCCTGGGCTTCTCGCCTCTTGGTTGCTGTTTTGGGACTTGTACCACTAGTGCTCATCAAAGCTGTTGTAACCACAACGGAATTGACGGTTGAAAGGTTAATTATCAGCCCCTAAGAAATAGCACTGTATATGCTTCTACTCTTTTACTACTCAAGAGAGTCATCTATACTTCATATAGATGGCGGGAAGAAATAGAAAAAGCACAGAAGTTCCACTTTATTTTCGAGGCCCATACTGCAGGTCATAGAATGTCAGAAATGGAAAGACCTTAAATATCATCTTGTTCATGATTCTCATCTTAAAGAGGAAAAAACTGTGCTGGATGGAGCTTGCCTTGTCTGTAGTCCGAAAGGCCAAATGAAGGGCACCTGGGTGGCTCAGTGGGTTAAAGCCTCTGACTTTGGCTCAGGTCATGATCTCAGTGTTCTGGGAGCAAGCCCCGCATCGGTCTCTTTGCTAAGTAGGGAGCCTATTTCCCCCCCTCTCTCTGCCTGCCTCTCTGCCTACTTGTGATCTCTGTCTGTCAAATAAATAAATAAAATATTAAAAAAAAAAGAAAGGCCAAATGACAGAGAGTGTGACAATAGTCTTTGAATTTTGAAAAACTGTAATGTAGAAGTGGGATTAAATTTTTGTGTGTGCTCCCAAAGGCCAAACCAAGGCCTGTGGTGATTCATTGTAAGTGGAACAAATATTTTCCCAAATGTTGAATTTAAAGGTTATAATCTGGACTATCCAACAAAGAACTTCTTCATAAAAGTTGTGTTCCTCACCATCAGAAAGATCACTTAGCAGGAAAATTATGTAGATCAAATCACTGGAAGTGTTGACTAAGCTAGACTATTGAAGATGCTCTCCAAATCTGAGAGTCTATGATTCTGAAACCAAGCTCTCCAGGGTCCTAGCCCTTCATGTTCTATCTTGGCCAACCAATATCATTCTCCAAGAATTTAGGGTATGATATTTCTGCCAGCAATCCCAGACACTTAATCCCAGCAATCCCCAACACACAAAAGAATGCCACATGAAGGGGAAGCTGGAAAAAGATGCCTTTCCACCTTTTTCCAGTTAGTGTCCAGATCCTCCAGCAATTTTGCCCATGGTCACTTTTTTATATCAACACTATATTTTGCAAAGCAGAACAGGACATTTTTGAAAAAGAGGTAATCAGTCAGGAAAGATGGACAGAAATGAAGTGACCCAAGGATCTCACGAATAAGATCAGAAGTAAGAATCCTGGTTTGAAAACTTCCCCAAACCACCATTTCTGCCACCATAATGTGCACCAGAAGAATATTAAAGAGTGGATAAAAAAACAAAAAAAAAGTTGAAGCAGTGAGGCCGAAACCATCGTAAAATCCCCCAAAACAAAAGTAAGGTGATTAGATTTTTTTCAGCTATCAAGAAAGCCCAGAAATGGCCCAAGATACAACATTGACAAGACTTTTTCTTTCCAATGTTTGTTCTATGAAGATAAACATTGTAAACATTTAACATTTAAAAATAGCATATTCTTTATTCTGCGTACCCCCTCCAGCATGACCTTTATCACCATGATATGAAATCACAACATAACATCAGCACTATTTTCCTTATGGGAATATTTGTTAAAATAAAATATACTTTATTCAACTAAGCTGAATATTTGTTAAAATAAAATATACTTTATTTGACTAAGCAAGTATTAAGGACCATTTTTATTATTCTCCTTCTGCAGAAAGAATGCCCAATTATTTTAAAATATGACCATATCCTCAATCAACAAAAGCTAATAAATGAAGATATGCTTGTAATCTCTCATTGTTCTGGACCTGGACTCTTTTCCCCCATAAGCTCTCAGTCCAGAATACTTTGCAGGGATTCAGAGTTAATGGTCAAACATCCAGGCAGTCTAGATTCTCATGGAAAACAACAGGTCACCCCTCCACTTTAGAGCTGAGGGCTGAGTGTCCAAACAAGTACACAGAACCTACACTTTCCATCCATAAGTCAGTATTTCCCTCTATTATTACTGACTGTGATAAGTAGACCAGCAGAAAGTAGGAGAATGCATTTTCTAATAGGCTTCTTTCAAAAGGATCTGTTCTGAATGAATCTCCTAGTTGAAGCTCCTGAAGGAAAACTAATTCTGATTCTATGTGCATGCTGCCGAAAGAAAAACAAATAGAACACAGAGGATTATCTAACCGTATCCCCAGATCCATAGGCTTCTCTGATAAACAAAATGGTATCAGATACCAATTCCTTAAGGATGGAGACAGAACATCAGTCCCAAACTTGGACATGATCATGGATACTCTTCTCCTTGATGCTGAAAAACTTGGCATTGAGGACAATGGATAAGCAGAAGACAGAGCAGTTTACCTGTTGTTGCTGCTGCTGTGTGATCCTGAGTCTTAGGCTGTGAGTTACCAAACCAGGACCACATCCAATGCATTTGCTCCTGAACTGCTGCTTGGCTGTTTGAGTGCACAGTTGAGGTAACTGCATCAATTATGAAAATATCATTTAGTGAGATCTTTCTACAAACCTTTATTCTCCACTCTATGTATATGTGACATCTGTCTCTATTGTAGAGCAAAGATTAGAAAAAGAAAGATTGAGGCCTGGCTTTATCTTTCCAATCTTCTGAAGTATCTTGGAATCTTAGAACAACATGAGAAATGCAAATTCTGGATGGGTGTCAGTTCAGAGCTACTCAAACTTCAGACGGAACCCTCTGAACACAGGCTCAGAACAAAATAAAGTAAGAACTTAACAACCTGTGAAGGAAAAGAGATTTTATGTTTACTTGATGAGGTGACCCAGTCATGGACTGAAGGTCTTTGATGCAACATTTCATAAAGTTGCTTTCATTCATCTGTGTTTGGAGTGTCTTCAGAGGTGCTTGCTTGTGTCTTCTGGGCCTATCCTTCACGCCAGTAGCGTATGATAACAACTGACATTTCAAAGATTCACACACACTCATTAACTTCAAGTCAAGCTTGATGCTTGAGCAGGAACCTTGCAAAGGGTGTGTGTTCAAAACGACGAAATCAGATAAAGCTTTGTCAAGTCTCCCTCTATAACCTTCCGTCACTTGTAATTCTTAATTTGGAATGTGTTTCCAACAAAGAAACAAAACTGCCCAAGCCAGAGAAATTCTGGACACTATTCAAATTTGAGAAAGGACAATCAGTGATATTTTGCAACTTGAAATCTCCCATTTGCCTCTCAAGTAGGACTTGGGTCCAGAATGTTTCCCTGCGGAAGAATAGCAAAGGTCATCAGGACCAACACCTAAACAAGCTGAGGTTTTTAAAAGCCATTTTGAGCTCTACCTCCCTTTGAAAATCTGATCTAAGTTATGACTTCTGTCCTCAAAAGAGTGATGTGACACATACACATTCTCAAAATTCTGTATATTATTTCAGGTTCTTGAATGCCTTAGGGCCCATCATTGAGCCTACTGGAGGTCCATGAACACCAGGTTAAAAACTTTGACCCTATATTCACCAAATGTCAATAACCTTTGCAGTATGTTCTGTGCTAGCCAAGGACACACTGGCAAAGAATAGAGACGAGACACAGGAGCCAATTTCACCAACAATGTCTCCAGATCCACCTGAGCATCCCCCCTGAAAAATTCTCAGGCACCCATTCTGCCCTCAGAAACTTTATTACAGAGTTCCTGCCACCTTCGCCCTATAGAAGGCCAAGAAGAGACCAACAGGAAGTAAACATACAAGAGCAAGACAGAAATAGGAGTTATTTCTACTTTCCCAAAAGGAGTCATATGAGATTTGGGGAAAATGGAAGAATCTACTGTCTAGCCAGCAGAGTTTCCAATTTTCCCCACCCACGTAGGTGATGCCAGACCAAAAATATATATGTATATATTTCTTTGACACCCAGAAGACAAGGAAATGGAGCGTTCCAAGGTAGGAGTCTCTGCTTCCTGAATAGTGTACGTTTCTGGATTCCAGAGAATTCCAGATCACCAATAAAAAAGAGGCTGATGACATGCCCCCAGAAAGTCTCTTCCAAAAATAACATTTATAATAAAAAGCCTGCTGGAAGCCAAAACCTACCCAGGTGGTTGTTCTTATTGGCTTTCCCTATTGCCACCCACCAAGGACCCTTACGGAAGGAATGAGCTGCCAAACTAAAGATGCACTTCTCTGTCCTCCTCTTGACATCTGTCCTTCTGCATGCATTAGGGAGGACTTGCAATCACTCCTCTCCACCAAGACCCACCTTTTAGTCCAACAGTCATGAAGCTTTGGGAATCTCTACACTGGGCTCAGAAACTGGGGTCTATTCAGGAATTTACCAGTGGTAATCTTTTCTAGTATGCCATGGGTTGCTTTCAAGTTTCCACCTGATTTTTTTTTTCTTGGACACTCTTCTTTGCATGCATGGATTTATCTGGAGCTGCCACTGGCCATTTAGATGTTTTAGCACTTCGGTGACTCTCAGGTTGGCCCTGGACTCACTCTTTTGGACCAGTGAGTCTCTCTGTTCCCAAACTACTAAGAGAAACTTAGCTAAGTGCTTTGAAAAGAGGAAAGCAAGATTCTTTTCTCAACCCAAATCCTGAACTATGCTTTCGTGAAATCTCAAAGCACTCCTTCTCCTTGGTTTCTGAACAGTGGATGGGCTCCACAAATGTCAGTCCAACTGTGGGCCCCCAGTAACTAGGGCAAAGGCACAGAGAAGACCTCAAATATTGGTTAACATTTGGCAAATATTGGTCCTTATTTCCCTTCCGTATTACTTTCTAATGGTACTTACCACTGGATCCCCCAGCATTAGAACAGGTACATAGTAGGTCCTCAAAATAAGTATGCTGACTACCTAACTTGGGCAGGAAATGTGCAATCCCTAAAAGATGTGCGGACTATTCATTAAATGTCCTTGTTGCCTTTCTAAAGTACATGTGTAATACTCACTGTTTGATATAGACTAATAATGACTTCAATGTGAATTTCACCTAGTTCCTCAAAGGTATATTTTGCCACGATTTTCTTCTTTGGTGGGAACTAGTACTTTGGAGTAGACTCAATCTGCCTCTCGCTGAGACCACTAATTGTTACGTTTGCCAACATCTGACAAAATTGCATGCTCTGATGATAGGAGCCTTCTGCATGGTTACTTTAACAGGGCAGGGAACTCAGGGGCAGCCAGCCCCCAGCAGCAGGGCCTACTGGGTTTGCAGAAGCTCCTCTCCAGAAAGTTTGTCCATGGGACCACAGGAAACGAGGTGACGCAATCTCCAGAGAGCCAGTAGTCTGGGAAGGCATCAGCCATTTGAGAATGTCTGCTTCCTGAAAATGCTTCAAAGGATCTGCAGAGAATGACCAGACTTCGGGCCCATTGGTACTGCTCCCCCATCCTTAGCAAGCTGCTCACAGAAATTTAAAACACTGTTGAGCAAGTAGCCTTTGGCTAAATCATAGTGCTCTGAAGGTCACCCTGAGTTCTGGGTGACAAGGCACAGAAAAAGGCCCTATGCAGCGCATTCCCAAACCAGTGAATGTCAGCCACACCCTTGGGAGAGCAGAGTCCTGCCCCACAAGAGCAAAAGCCTGGACAAAAGAAAATCCACACCATAAGAGGAAAGTTGCCCAAAACGTGGATATCCTACTTCAGTTCGAATAATCCTCCACAGAAGGAATGCAGCCAATCTGGAAACCCGTCTTAAACCACAGGGAAAAAGTAAAGTGGAAAGCAAAGAAGGAGGCCAGAGGGAGATGCAAACACTTTCCAAGGACAGTGGAGCACAAAGGACAAAACCCCAAAGAAATCGAATGCAATGTTGCCATATTTCCACTCTCACAGTCCCCAGGTAATGAATTATCCACGTTACCACGCAAGTATTAACAGCTTTCCCCTAGAGGCTGCAAGGAGACAACTTTTAAGTGGGTTGAGTTTGATCAGGTAACTCCTTTAGATATGCTTCCTTAGACTGAAACCAAAGGAATTGTTTAGTAAATCATGGACGAATAGGACAGAATATCGCACCATCAATAATACTGCATAAATCAAGTTAAAACATAAAAACATAGAGTTAAGATGAAAAAAGTAGATGGGATGGTATGCATCTGTTAGGATCCCAACATTATGAGAACAATCTTATCCAAAGGTGGGAAAGAACAAGAAGGAAACATGTAAACATAAAAACAGCTTCTGTAGCATGCCTGAATTGTCACCACATCCCTGGGACCAAAGAACAAGAAAGTCTTCTAAAAAATCTTCCAGTATGGCGCTTCTTACCCCAAGGTAAGCAAAACAGAGAAGAAGATGGAAACAAAACAAAACAAAACAAAACACTGCAGACAGTAGCAGGCAATGACTACAGGTTACCATAATACCCCCTTCCCCAAATGGTGTCCCCAACTTCTAGAGACAGGAGACAATCAACACACAAGGGAATGCTGATCACCCAGGAAGCTCAGAGCCGGTTTTGTAAACAAATTACCACGGGAAAGCACAGTGATTCATTCTCCTTACTGGTAATGGGGGTATTCTCTGGGTTGTCAGACACCCCGGTACTATCTTGGTCCTGGGTCGGGTACACAGTTGGAAGGAGGGTGTGGAAGACGTAGCCTCCTGAAGTGCTCCTCTCGCTGGAGGAGCCACTGCTCACGTCATCGTCAGCGGGGGTGCTGGGGTTGATGTCTTCAGGGTTCGTTCTGTATTCCCCTGTCTGGCTGTAGCGGGTGCCATCGCGGTTGACAATGGCTGGGGGAAAGAGAAGGCACTTTCAGAACTTGGCAGCTGACGTTTGCTGAGTATAGGAAAGACTGTGGGTTGTCACATAAGACAGTGACTTCAAAGCTATTTTTCTTCATTATCAAGCAAAACAACACCTAACTACCTATCTAGTCAGGGGGGCAGGGAGCAGGGGATGCTCTAAGAAAGTCTACCCTCCCCTGCCCACCTGCACCTGCTGGAAATGGGGAGGGGGAATGAGGGTGTGTTTGGAAGTCCCCATGTTTGAATCTCAGCTGTGTGTGCCCTTAGACAAAGCTGGTACTGAGCTTCAGATTTGTCATTGGTAAAATGAGGATGCTACTCCCCTTTGCTCTGAGCCCTATATGATACGTGGTATGTGAAGTGCTTAGCACAGGATCCTATATTGACTTGGTCTCAATAAATGATAGTTCTCCCACTGGTTCCTTTTCTCCCTTCCAAGTACATATAAAATCTGTTGCTGTTAATTCCATCTACTTCCAGAAAGGATTGGAAGTAGGACATGAAGAGGTTAGCAGTCTCAACAAGGAATATATATTTGCACATCCATGAAGAAAGAGGCTTTTCTTCTAAGGAGCAAATTTTGTCAGTCTACGTGAACCCCTTCTCTGGCTAAGAAATCAGCATGCCTAAATGATGACTGAGCCTCCGCCCATCCTCCGTGAGATTCAGTCTTGAAATTAAGAGGCACGGAGGTATATAAAGATCAGAATCTTTGATTTAAACAAGGAAATGTCTAGAATGGACAGGTGAAGGAAAAGCAAAGCAAATTCATTCTTTGCTCCTCCCTGAGAGGATTTGCTGCCTTCAAGTCTGGGCCACTCACCGTATAAGTGTGCATTTAGCTAAAATTATCCTCTGCTATATTGCACTGGACAAAATGTTCCTTTTGTTAACCTATCTGGCTTGCCCAAGTAGAACTATTAGTAAAACATACATTAGAAAATATCGCAAGGGTGCCTACGTGGCTCGGTCAGTTTTGGCTCAGATCATGATCTCAGGGTCATGAGATCGAGCCCCACATGGGCTCTGTGCTCAGTGGTGGGGGTTGGGGGTTCCGCTTGAGACTCTTTCCCTCTGTCCCTCCCCTCACTTATTTTCTCTCTCTCAAATAAATAAATAAATCTTAAAAAAAATTGCAAAATCTCAAACACTCTGATAATCTCTCCAGATGTAGATCTGATTAAAAAATATCTGACCAAATTTCTACAGATCTGGACTTTGAAAGGTATTGCTGGGGACCAAGGAAATGGGAAGTTTATTGAACATGACTATGGTCCTGACATGCATTGGACATACTACTTTTCTTCATTTTCATTTCAAATCTCACAGGTTTTCCAATATCCAGATGAGAAAACTGAGGCTCAGAGAGACAGTCATTCCTTTGAGATCACCCAGGTGGCAAGGGACTAGGATTCAAACCAAGCCTGACTGAGACAGCACATCTGAACTTGTGAGCCTCCCTTTCCATGAGGCACGGGTTGGGGACAATTTTTGGCCTAACGGTACAGGGCTGGATTTGCGTGGCCATGATGATTCTCATCCTTCTGTCGCCTGCCACCTCTGTTCCCTTGCACAGGAAGGGGTCTGTCTCTTAGGAGGCAGAAGTCAGGCCTCCTCAACATTATGATACTTCTCAAAAAAAGTGAGGTTCAGAGGCCATAAGATCAGGGTTAATAAGTTGACCTCTTTGAAAATTTTGGTTGAGATTTTTGTTCTCATATACTGCCAGACGCCTACATCTTGGGATCATCAAGATGATTTTAGGTGGATGTGGTATAAATAATGTTGAAATTAGAATTAGAATTAGAATTAGAGTTAAATTAGAATTCTCTTCCAGTACACAAATAATCAATCAAACAGAAAATTTAGGGGGCTGGAATGCATCTCCCCCTCGCCCTTATTAATCCCTCCCCATGAAAGAGAACATGGCTCAGACTCAGAACCTTCAAGCAGCTAGAATTTAAGAAGACTATTTAATTTGTCCTACATGTAAGTGTATTTTTAAGCATACCCTCTGCTTATGACTGGGGGTTTTGTTTTCCATTTGTAGGGGATTGTTGGTTTATTTTATTTTGTTTTATTTTTTGAAGATTTATTTATTTGAGAGAGAGAGAGAGAGAGCGAGCATGAGCAATAGGGGCAGAGAAGGAGAGAGAATCCCAAGCAGACTCCCCGCTGATCATGGAGCCTGACATAGGGCTCGATCCCACAACCCCGAGATCATGACCTGAGCTGAAATCAAGAGTCAGACACTCAACCAACTGTGCCACCCAGGCACCGCTGCAGGCTTTTATTTTTTTTTTTTTTAAATAAACTCATTTAAAGCGGAAAAGAATAGGCCAATTAAGTGAAAAATATCAAGTAAATGACTGTGCTGTGTACACAGAGGTGCCCAAAAAGGTGAAAGCAGTTTTCAAATGACTGCAATTTGAGGAACAATGTGTTGGGGTCAACGGAATAGCAGTTTCAAGCCACTGTAGGAAAAGGGGAAGGGACAGTGAATCACACCCAATGTCCCTCGCCTTGGGAAAATGACTGCTCTTCTACTCAAATATGAAACACAGAAAGTAGACCTGATCCCCTTCCCAAGAATGGGAACACCCCACTGAAGTCAGAAGAGATACGTACTTATGGTAATTGGTCCTTCAAAGGCATTGGGCAAGTGTGTGACCGATGTACAATCTTCTTCGGGTGGAGCTGTGGAGCAGCAAAGAGAAAAACCATAAGAACTTTAAAAACATAGGAGCAAAACTGATGTCTACTTCTATTAGTCAGGATGGGGTTTTATTAAAGCTCTATTTGGTAACTAGACCTTGTATTGAGATCTAAACACTCAGAGAGCTTTCAACTGGCTTGGCTTTGCAGGGAGAATGGATCCATTTGTGGATGATAACTTTTTTTTTTTTAAGATTTTATTTATTTATTTCACAGACAGAGATCACAAGTAGGCAGAGAGGCAGGCAGAGAGAGAGGGAAGCAGGCTATCCGCCGAGCAGAGAGCCCGATGCGGGGCTCGATCCCAGGACCCTGGGATCATGACCTGAGTTGAAGGCAGAGGCTTTAACCCACTGAGCCACCCAGGCGCCCGTGTGGATGATAACTTTTATACCGTGTGTGTGCATGTATGTGCATGCACTTCTGTGTCTGTGCACAAGATGGCAACTTATTTCTTAGACTGATTTCTCTCAATGTTGCTTCTTGTCAAAGAGGAAGGGAGAAAGGGATGGATGGATCAATGGATGAATGAATGAATGGATGGATGGATGGATGGAGGCAGGTCAGCAGACTGCTATCACAAGGAAGGCTGTTACCACAAGCATTTTAGGTGTTCTGTCATAAATCGCGAGGTCCTCATAACATTGGACAGAAACATCAGTTCAACAAAACAGGGCTTTGTTGCTTCCAGGTCCCAGAAGCTTCTTTCCTACAGATAAAGGGCATGTCCCTTGACCTGCCTATTTCTTTGACCCATTGTGAAAACAACCGGCAGATTTATTCACCTGGAGAAAACCAGGTCTTAAGAAAAGCCATTCTTGCAAAGGCTAAGTAAAAGACATCCCAGAAGAGAGTCTCAGAGAAAGTCACCTCCTCAGTAAGTCCTCTCCTCACCAACCAATCTCAACCAGCCCCTTACCAATCCCCCACACATATCACCATCACATCTTTGCTTACAGTTCTCCTTCTGACTTACTGCTGCCTCACATTATCTTGTTCATTTTACATGATGGCTGTTCATGGCACATCTCTCAACCCCTAACCCCTGCTACCCAACCCCCTCACCTCCAAAGAGCTATAGAAGTTGAGTAGTGATAATTAGTGACCTTATTTATCTTGGCCAGAACATTTATGTATGACGGGGTCAGAAAGACACTCGACAAATACTTGTCGAATGAATGAAAGAGGAAGTATCGATATAATTCCCACAGGCCCATGCTTGCAGAAAACATACCTAAGATGTTAACCACCCCCCCAAAATGGTCTACAGTGATGAACAGGTCAAGAAATGTTTAGATGAACCATGAATGGAAATGCCATAAGAAACTCTGTTTTAAAAAGTTTAAGATATATCAGTTCATTTATTCATTTTAAGCATTACTCATGAAACAGATTAAAATAAAAAGGAGCAAAAAAGATGAACATGTTCCTGTTTCTACTTTTAAGGAATCCACAAGGTCATGGACAACAATAACAATTAATATTTCTTTAGATTTTTACAGTTTTCAAAAAGTGTTCCCAATAATTTCCTCATTTGAAAAGCAGGGCAGATAGCCTCCCTGGGAGATCGTGAAGAGTATCTACACTGTCTGCTCTGGTAATACCACCAGAAACCCGCCTGACCCATGAGAAGCTTCTGATACTTTATGTCGCACAGGCCCCGAAACAGACTTGGATTATGACTTCTTCATGGCAGGGGTGGAACCACTTTCCCCGAATTCAGGCAACAGTAGTGCCCTGGGAAGAAATTTCTAAGGGTTAGGTTGTGATAGAATGGGATACAATGTAAAAAACACTAAGACAGTTTTGGAAATCATTAGAGCATTTGTTCAAATGGACCTTCTTCATGCTCCAGTTCCCCTTAACTTTTAAAAAGAACACCAAACCTGGCAAGCACAATATGATGAATGGTGACCCAATTGTGCAATTAATACATTCATGCTCCCATGTCAGACAGCAGGGCCTCACTGACAATCTTTTATTTTAATGATTTAATGTTTAATGAACACAGCACTGCTGGGAGCATAGGGCTTCGTGAGATTTTCCTGAACCTAAGGAATTGTTAGAAAGACTCTGGGGCGGGCTTCCTGGTGGGCTGCACCTCTAAACAGTGCTTCTATTGCCCCAAAATAGCTGGGAGCAATGTTAATTACTCAGTCTAGCCAGTGACTCAGTGCCAGATAGAAAGACATCTTCCTCAACGCCTGATACATTCTAGATATCCAATAAATATTTGTCGAGTAAATGAGCAAATGAGTAGACAAATAAATGTAACATCTTCTAAATTCTACCTTCAAAAAAGAATGAGGCATTTTACTGGAGGCAAACTCCAAAAATGAACTAATTCAAGCCAGTTCTCTGGGCTCTTAACACAGAAGTCACCAGGGCCTGAGATATAAGGCAATCAAAATAAAAATCATGGGGCCTTTCCACAGTCTGCCTTATTTTCGTCTATAAACCACAGGCTATGTTTTACAAAAATACTGCTGAAACTGAAAGCATATGGAACCTATCTGCTAAGATTGTGCTGGTCTGGTCCCTGTAGACCAAAAGGGTTTGGAGGGGGTCACATCATTGGGTCTTGACCACCTGCCTGCAACTCTCAGTTGGACCTTTCCGATGGGATGCTCTGCCTAGAACAGAAGGTTATCCAGATCCATAGTTCGCTTAGCACCTCTCTCATCACCATGACATTCAGAATTTATTTATCCTTAGATAAACACTCTTCTCCAGCTTCTTCATTCTTTTGTTTCATCATTTCAATGAGGTTACCTCCCAAGACAAAAAATGTGGCTGCTGGTTCTTTCTCACCCTACTTGCCCAGCAGAGTCCTGATGGCATATAGTTGATCCAAAAATACTCTTTTTAAGACTTAAAGAAAAACTTATAAAAGCAGTCTATATCCATTAAGTAAACTTGGATAAAAGAAAAGGAAAAAATCTTCTCCTTAAACTACTTTAAGACAGACATTTGGGTATGAACACACCCCCCGGAAATTCTTCAGCTTTTCAGCTGCTTTAACACCTCCCCGCAAAGAAGAGGAAAGTTAATCAGGAGGGTTCACTTCCTTCTCTGAGGCTAGACCCAATCCTGCAGGGAAAACTAAGGGGCAGGGAGACAAGTCTCAGTAGTAACTTGTCCACATGGTTGCCATTCCTGGTAAAACGGTGGGAGCTTCTAGTTTTTTGAGTTAAAGTTCTTTCTAGGAAGTGATACTAACTTTTTAAAACAGGGGAGACAATGTGGATTCGCAACAACATAATTTATTGTGTCCATGTCCTCAACAAGATTCAGTGGGGGAAGAAAGGGGTAGTACCCACTCTCGAGTGTGCGTCCCACACTAGCCCAGTCTCATGTGACCAGCCCCTTCCTCTAAAACACAAAGTCTTCCCAAATCCCCCCTCTAACCTCTGGCACTAAGATAAGCTATTGAGACCCCATGCTGCTCTGTGTCTACTTCTCCTTTATTTGCATGTGGTTTTCCTCAATATTGTGTCCTTAGAACAGACATTCTAGGTATATGGGTACGGGAACTGGGTGGGGGCCATGCACCATTTTGCCTCATGGGGACTCTCCTCTTTTTGGCTAAACTCCATTTGCATTCCTTGCTCATATACCAGGGAATAAGAAATAATCTACAGTTTTCTTCTCTTTTTTGTGAGCGTCCCCCCAGAGGTTTAGGGACTTGCCTATATTTGACATAATGTATTGGCTTCAAAACACACCATTTCAACTATCAACTCTGAAACTTTCTCTTTCCCCTAATCTCTAGATTTCTCTTCTGAATTCCCACTTCCATCCCTACTTCTCATGCCACAGTGGGTGGCCGGCAGAGCCGAAAGCTACTGACGTAATCTAGCAATTACTTTGATGCCTACCACTTGCACTGAAAACCCCGTGCAGATTTCATACTCTCCCACATGTGATATCTGTGTTTTTCTCATGCAAACAATGCCTTAAGTCATCACTGAATAACATCTGTGTTTGTCTCATACAATATTCTTTAACCACTCTTCAGCTAATTTAACACCCTCCTTCCCAACTCTAAGGAAAACAGATATGCCAGGAAGACGTATCGAATTTACCTCATGGTTCCGTCTTCCCTTCACAAAATCTCAGACCTTCCTGAGGAACAGAAGCCCCAGTTTGAGAAGGAAGTAGTCAAACAACATTTGATTGTTGGCATTCAAAAGCTTGACATTTGTGTGTTTGACCCTTCTCAAGAGACCCTGAAGATACACAACGTGGAGAATTCTTGAATTCTGCTGGAGCCTGAATTAGACTAATAAACATGAGTTTCTAGGGCAGTGGTTGGAAGCAAGTCCCTCTGACAGGCAGAGTGGCCAGGCCTGCAGTAAAGCACACACATCTTAACTTGGTTTTCTTGTTCTCTGGTTGTCAAGGCTCTCAATTGTTGGGAAAGGAAACTCAAGAAGGTCAAAGGCCTACCGTACATACATCCTCCCAGCTTTCTCTCCAGGCCCAACATAGAATAAATACTTCTAAACCAAGCCATTTGGCTTGTACCCCAATACCATCATTAGGTTCATGTCACTTCCTGATTCAAAACCCTGCAGTGACTTCCCATCCCACTGAGAATAAAATCCACACTCTACCATGGCCTACAAGGCCCTATGGGACCCGGACCCTGCTTACGTCTCTTGACGTCATTCCTCAGCATTCCCCCTTCTGATCACTGGGCTTTATCCACCCTGGCCTCCTCGGTGTCCTCAGAATAAGTTGCAGTGCTCCCCCATGCCTGGCTTGGCACTGCTGTCCTCTCTGCCCATGGCTGTTCTCCCTGACACCAGTTGGGGCTCTCTGTCAAATGGACCTCCTCACAGGCACCCTCGCAGGCCACCTTCTCAGAGAAAAGCTTCCCTAGCACTCAGAACCCTCTTCTTCGGCTTTCTTTTTTATAGCACTCATCACTTTTTGACTTCGTATGAGGTATTGACTCTTTCTCTCTTTCCTGTCAGCCTCCCTGCCTTGCAAGTAAGCACTCCGGAGAGAGGAAGCCTGTCTCTGCTGCGGCTGTGGAGATATTCAATGAGCATCCATTGTGTGAATGGAAGCTGTATGACTCCCTACTTAAGCCAAGACTGATGTGTGTCCAAGGCCACCCCAGACACAAGACCATCCCCTTGGAACCAACCTGAGGCATTGAAGCAGTACGTGTCATACTGGGAGGTGTTGGATGTGAGGATGTACACCCCTGTGTTGTTGGCCGCACAGATGGAGTTGGGGTGGATACGGGGGATCACCACATGCCCTTCTATGAACCCGTACCTGCAAAATGAAAGCGAGAGGTTATCTCCCTGCAAGGCTGCGATGGGGACTGTGTGACGTGTCATCAGATGACATCTCACACAGCACCCGGGGTCATTCGGTTCACCTCTGGGGATCATACAGGTTTCAACAACTGGTTACGTGAAATCCAGAAACAACAGCCAAGAAAGAGAAGGAAAGGGATCAACACTGAGGGAAGCAAGGTGATTTTATTTAGAGCTCTGTAAAGAGCTTTAAAAGAAAAAAAAAAAGATTCATGGAAGAAAAAACTGACTTTTTAAAAATAAAAAAGTTTTATTTAAATAATCTCTACACCCAATGTGGGGCTGAGACTCGCAACCCTGAGATCAAGAGTCACACACTCTACTGACTGAGGCAGCCAGGTGCTCTAGGAGAAGAAAACTGCTTTCAAATAAATTATGTGGGCAGCAGTGTCAAGTCAGTTTGAACATGTGGAGGAAAGCCTGAGTCACTGAGGTAGGATCCACTCTGGCTCTCTATCGCCTTCATATTTTCCAGAAAATACATCAGACGACCAGTTCCCATAAGCTAGGGCTAGGTGGCTCTTCCTTTCAGTCCACACAGGTCAGACCTGCCTATTTCCCATCCTCTACTCTTCCTTTTTTGTGTCACCTTTCCCTGTGATTCCCTCCCTCCTGACTCCATTGCTATAAACACGAAGCCTTGTTTATATGCTAGAACACAGTATATTTTCTTCATGAGCATCCCAGGCATAATTTCATTGCCAGTGGAAGTAAACTGACTGTCATTAAAATGGAGTAATAGTGATTAAGTAAGTAGATAGCGGTGCCTCATTTAGCTCAGGAATTTTCCAGAGGCAGCTCAGTCAGAGAAGTGCGTAAGCCCCCTCTGCCCTCACTAAGATGTTTCTGGGAGCATGATGGAGACTGAGGCCCCGTGGGGTACAGCAGAGAGCACCCAGCCTCTTCAGTCCGCATCTCGGAAGCTAAGTACTCACTCACTGCACAATCTCTCCTGGATATAAAATGCCTCCAAAAATAAGATATGTGCGGTGAAGGGGTTGGTGGCAGGGGTACGGTAGAGAGGACCAAGCTAAATCCAGCAAGTTTCTGAAAATGCAATGCTGGCTAAAATGCATGGCGGTCTCGCCTTTTTAATCTTTGCTACCAGAGGTAACAGTTCACAGTTCATCATCCTGCAAGACCCACGGAAATGGCTGTGAGTTTGAAATTTCTAAGCACACAGAACCCATCGGGTCCATGTCGCAACTGTAGCTTGCATGACTAATTCCTCCTCTGAAAGGACAGACTGGTTTCTCCAAAGACTCCTTAGTTTGGTGGGGAGAGAGAGAGAGCAATTAAATGTTAATAAGTTTCCATCTATCTGGGAAATGCTACTAATCAGGGTGGGGCAGACAGAAGAGAGTGGCTGCTAGGGTTTTATCCGAGCCTATAAGTCTCAGCCACCTGTCTTATGGCAGAGATCTGATTCACAGCGCCTGAGTGAAATTATGGAAATGCGTTTTGCAACACTTAATACCCGCTATGGGTGGAAGGATAGATTTCTTTGGCACCGTTTTTCTTTTTCTTTCTTTCTTTTTTTTTTTTAATGGCAACACTCTGGTGAGCCTACTCCCCACCCCGCCCACATCACACTGGGAGATCTGTGTCACACTGACATTCTAGAATCTACATTCCCTTTTTAAGTTATGCCCCAGTTGTTGCCACCACAAGCCAACCGCCCCTTGTAGATGTCCCACCACATGTGAGTTGGGATATTAAAATTTATATATGTGTATATCCTGCCCCAGCAAGTTGCTGTTCACAGGGAGGAAAGAAACGCTCAGCAAATCCACACATCGTGCTTCTGTCTCCCCCTCGCCCTTAGTCCCTCGGGAGGGTCATGAAATTCTTGCCCTGGGCTCAGATGAAGCGGAATTAGCCTCTGGACCCCTCCTGGTGCAAGCGACATGGCCCTGGGTGAGCTCTGGCATGTCTGCAAGCTTCAGTTGCTTCATCCATAAAGTGCAGAAATCAGATCAATGCCAGGTGCAGTCCAAGGATAGAGGGGACGTGGGCAAGTGGACAGCAGGGTGCGTCCCACCTCTAAGTGCGCAGAGCTTAGCCCGTGGGAGTCTGCAGAAATCCCCTTGCTTTCAGCAGATGGGAACATTTCTGTGTTTCCTAAGTATGTCTTGTCTGTATTTCACAACCCAGATTCAGTCTAGTAAGTCTACTTTCTTAGGCTACTGGCCGAGTCAGGGCCATATTTAAACAATTAGCCTTGGGAAGGGGATGCATGGATCTGCTCCCTGGCCCGCCTTGGGAGCAGCGGACAGAGCTTCTCCCTCTGCTGCTCTCGGGTTCTCCCAGACCTAGCTCTGAATGCACGCAGATGTGCGTGCACGTCGGCCCTTTTTTTCAGAGCAGTACCGCTGAGTAGAACGTTCTGCAGGAATGGAAATGTTCTGTCTAGAATCTATGCCCTCCAATCTGGCAGCCGCTCATCACCTGGGGCTTGTGGAGCAACCAAATGTCAACAGTGTCACCGAAGAACCAAAGCTGAATTTTCTTTGTCATTTAGTGCAAATTGCCACATGGGGCTAGTGGCTACCTTCTCAGTGCCATGTGGGAGTAAAGATTTATCTTTCCGTTTTCAGGAAGAGGGACCCCGCTGCCCCTCCTGATGTGTGTGCATCCTCTGCAAGCAAGGGCCAGGGTAGGCACGTTGACATTATATTTCATGGTCTGAATAAAGCCTTCCCCGACTTGACTTTGAAAGAGCAGCCTGTGTTTGCATGTGTGCATGTGTGTTTAAGAGGAAGGGGAACCACTTTATCTAATGACATTACACTGTAAAAACAGGGGGGAGCTGCTGGCAGGCTGGAAACTTCAGAGCAGTTGTTCGGATTACCCAGAGCTCTTCTAGTGAAAACAAACCAACCAAACCACTTTGCCGTGGCTGTCACCACTACTAGCTCTTGGTGTCTCCCGCTCACCACAGGGTCAGCAGAAATTCAAACACACAGGGCCACTGCCTGCTGTGAGCGCCCTGAGCAGCATGGCATGAGCTGGAGTCCAGGGAGCTCTGTGATGTCCCATGCAAGGTCTCTCAGGAGGTCTCCTGTGTCCCTCTGACCACTTCCCTCTCACTTAGAATAACACATCTTAATAATTTTCATGTCCTTTTATTTCTGGTCAAGCCAGAGCAACACAGAAGAGAAACAAACACACGAGAGACAGAGAGACAGAGAGAGGGAGTTGTTCGAAAACGCTGCTTTGAGCCAAGTCTGCTCAGCCAAGACTCCACAGGCTCATATTTATTTTAAACACTGTTATTTGGTTTATGTTTTCTTGTGGTTCCGACAATGATACTGCACGCTGCTTCAAAGCTGGGAGAGCGCTGTGGAAGCACTTTAGGCAAGAGGATTCCAGCTGCTGACCCTTAATGGCCTCCTCTGGGCAACCCCACTATGATTCACGAAGGTGTCTTTAGCCAGCTTTAAATTCCTGTTGTCCTACAGGTTCCAGGTTGACTTGGCCAAATTGATAGGTGGGGCCCACCCTTCAGGCAACCATCCATCAGCTGTCAGAGAGGAGCCTCTGAGGCCTAGGCCCCGCCCCAACGCCCCACCCCCAGCTTTCCTCCTCCTACCTGCAGGTCTCAAACCCAATGCTCAGGGCTTTCTCCATCTGGTCCATGGTGGGCAGGCTGCTGTTGAAAGCCTTGCAGAGGTCAGGAGCCTCCGTCCTGGAGATGCTGTAACGACCGTTCTTCTCCACGTGGAACACACCTGCATATCGGCAGGTTATATTCAAATCTGTGGGATGAAACAGAAATGGTACATGCTTTTGCATAACTTATTTGGGAAGGGTTAAGAAGTCTGTCTGAGGGTAAATTCATTAAAAACAAAAACAGCCCCTGGGGCTAATAATACAGTGTATGTTAATTTTTTAAAAAGGTATAAATAAATAAATCTTTAAAAAAAGAAAAGAAAAGAACAAAACAGAATGTCTCCACTGGCCAGAGCCTTCAACATTCACTCCAGCATTCCAAAGCACCACACACTAAGCTCAACTCTGAGCTAAGACACAGTAAAGGAGCATCACTCTGGCATTGTCTCCATTGGGTACTCTACAAACAAACATTTTTTTTTAAGATTTTGTTTATTTCTTTAACAGAGAGAGAGAGAAAAAGAGAGAGCAAGCGCACAAGCAGGGGGAGTGGCAGACAGAGGGAGAGGGGGAAGCAGATTTCCTACAGAGCAGAGAGCCCTATGTGGAGCTCGATCCTAGGACCCTGGGATCATGACCTGAGTTGAAGGCAGACATTTAACTGACTGAGCCACCCAGGCATCCCTACAAACAAGTTTTTTAAAAGCATATGACTTTTTTCTGATTCTTAAAGTAATACAACTTGTAGAAAACTGACAAAATTCAGGGAAATAATGAAGGAAAAGCAAGGTTATCACTACTGCCAACACTTGAAATATTTTGTTTTATCTTCTTTCAGTTTTCTGAATGTGTGTGTGTGTGTGTGTGTGTATACTTTTGTACTTATATAGTTAATACTAAATGTACAGTTTTAGATTTGGGCATCCTTTTTTCTACTTTATCTTATACCATGAGCATTTTCCCACAATCATGTGATATCCCTCCCTCCCTTGTAAACTCTAATGCTTCTGGTTGCACCCAGAATAAATGTCCTCTTCATGGCTGACAAGACCTACAGGAGCTGGCTCCTATCTCCCTCTTGAACCCTCAGCAGCTCACTCTGCTCCAGGCATAAACTTGCCTTCAGTTCCTTTGGACATTCTGAGCTCTTTGCTGCCTTAGAACATATTATCTACCATGCCCTCTGTCTAGAATGTTCTGTTCTCAGATCATCACGTTTTGTGTTTTAGCTCCACGTCACTCCCTCTTAGAGGCCTTCCCTGAACACTGTTACCCAACCCACGCATCTCCCTCACTTGCCCTGCTTTGGTATCCCCACAACAACTTGTTTATTTATTTGTGCATTCAATTATTATCCGTCTGCCCTTCCTGTCATAGAAGCTCCAAGAAAAGCAAGGACCCTTTACCTGTTTATTTGGTTTCTCTAATTCTTACAACAGTGTGACGGACAGTAGATGTTCAATAAATATTTACTGAATGAATAAATGGTTCCTTAAAATTTCCTACAAAACACACCTTCCACATATTGACAGAGAGAGCCAAGATCAGTGGTTGGCTCCCAAGAGTTAATGGCATTTAAAACGAAGCCTAATAGCTATCAACTGGCTAAAGCATGATTTAATCCAAGGGCTCCTGTGAATTTTGCAGACATGAATCTAAAATCTCAATAAGGAGCTGAAGAATTATCTGCTTCTACCTGATTCTATGAAACCATCTCACAAGGCTTCTAAACCATTAATAGAAAACTCCTTTTTCTGGGGCTGTGTTATCATCCCTAGTTGGCACTCCAGTGAACTCCAACATGGAAAGGTGATGTCATTGAAACCGTCCTGGAGGAGTGTGATTTCTCCTGACCACATCCTTGAGCCTCAAGTGCAGTCCTTGGCCGACAAAGAAGCTCACTGACGTTTCTGCTGGGCCTACCATATGGTGGACCATGAGCCAGGCCGGGCACCATGTTGGTAGTTAGAAGCCAGCTCTGGATTCAGACAAAACTGCCTTTAACTGACTCTATCCCTCACTGGGGCAGGTCGAGAGAAAGTCAGAAGATCCTGCTTATGAATCAATGAGAAAACTGAAGCTCAGAAAAATGAGTTGCCCCAGGAAGTGAGCACTTCTATCTAGAACCTGTAGTTGATTTCCTGAATCTCAGCTGCTTTGTTCCTCAGTTCTGAGCTGATAGCCAGGGGCGGGGAGGCCTGTTACTGCAATGTCCTTGGGTCCCCAGCACCTCTGGGGTTCTCTGGAACCCCATCTTCCACGAATGCCAAGCAGCGAATGTATGCATGTGTGTATGTGTTATTTATAGGCAAAGAAACTGAAGCTCAGAAAAATTAAACAATTTCCCCAAGTCAGCCAATGGCAGAGTTGGAATCCCATCTCGGGTCTGCATAGCACTGAAACCCACCCTCCAAACCACTTTGCTGTGGACCTGGGATCCTTCCAGGTCATTAGAGCGAGATCGGCTCTAAAGGGGAGAAGCGCTCCAAAACAAGGGCCATAGAAGGACAAACACACGGCTGTTGTTGGTGAGCTGAATCAACAACAACCGCTTTCTCCTTTCCGAGCAGGAAGCAGTTCTAACCACCAGGAAGCGGTGTCTGATGATTTACAAAATAAGATGATGAGAGAACTGTCAAACTTCTGTATGATCTTCCTCGCCTCTGAAAATACTAAAAGAAGAAGCAAGAAAGGGAGCTTCGATAAGACAGAAGCCTCCATCAGTTGCTTCTCTTTTTGTGTCCTTAGCATGTGGGTGCATTTTAAAAGCATCAGTACTGAGTGGCCTGGAGAGCGCATGTTTTTCCGTGATTCGTTCCTTTTGGGGGTGTCCTTCAGCAGCTCACACAATGCCTGGCTGATGAAGGAGGAGGACAGCAAGGAGGGAACTGCACAAGGCTCTTTTGAAATATTGTTTGTTCTCACTGACATTTTCAGTTTTGGCCTTTGTCAGCCAGTCTTCACGCGGTGGGAAAACTGTCAGGCCGGGTGACGGCCCTTCCGGCGGCTTTCCTCGGCCAGCATACAAAAGGAAAACACAGCCTCGCAGTCAGCTTCTCGGAGGGGAGGCTGCTCAGGGGAGGCCATGGGAGCGGGGTGATCGTCCTGTCACTGTGTGGCCAGGTGGCCGCTGTCACTCCCGGGTTAAAAATAAAGTCTGTGGCCCAGACGGTGGTTTGGAGCCGAACGGCAGTTTCTGTCGTATTAAAATTCATTCTCGTTTACCAGCTGGCACCCAGAATATGCAAATGCAGAAGGAACCGAGACGTTTGAATAAAATGCCTTGAGTTCCATAGGCAGCCGCCTGTGTGACTGCAGAGACCCGAGGCGCATGCGTCGTGTGAGCACGCCAGCCCGCGTGAGCGGCAGGAGTGCGTGCGCGGCTGCGCGTGCCCGCGGTCAGCCGGAACAGCAAGGACCAGGGGACCTCAACCTACGGCCACCCTCCGTAGGGCGGCTTACCCAGGGCCCGCCACATGGCAGGTAGCGGGTAGGGGCTGCCCAGGGAATGCGCAGTTCTGGGCAGAGGGGAAGACCCACGGCTCACGTTTAGCTTCATTCAGCGAACGAGGCCGGATGGAAGTTCGCCACCAGGGCATATGCAAAGATGGCGCCCGAAACTTGCTTCCAGTCAGCTCTCCCCAAGAGCCTTCTGAGTTCCTCCCTCTAGCTCCCTCTTGCCTTGAGAGGGACCAAGCCTTCAAGGCTGCGTAGCCTTTCATAATTTATGAAGACTTTCCAACACACTTCCTTCACACTGACGCAAACCCCAATTATGACTCCAAAGGATACTAACTATACCAGCAGCAATAATAGCAAATATAGACTGGGCAGACACCCCTCTACACACTTCACAAGTACTCACTCATTTTATCTTTAAAACAACCCTATGAGGTAGATGATATTATTATCCCCACTTTACGGATACAGAAACCGAGGTACAGAGAAGGGAAGAAACATGCCCAGGTTCACAGAACTAGTGATGGTGAAGCCAGGATTCAAATCCAGTCAGTCTGCCGCCATGCATGCAACACACTTACCCATTGGGCTAATACGGCCAACTCCAACTGAAGTAACTTTTGATGACCTCCCAGCCTCCCCGGTGCGTAGTCTTTCCAGAATATTCCCAAGGTTCAGGGAAAGTTAGAACAAGATCAAGGTGTGAGTAGCCATGGACCACAGATGACTGGACAGGCACCAGCATCTCCGGCCATGGCCACACCATAGACCCCTTCCAGAGAAGCAGGACTTAACACGTGTGTGTTTTTCTCCTGAGAAACAGAGGCTTCTGTGATTCGGGATCTGTGGTGACTCAAGAGGGCTAATACTGCATGGCCAATTGCATCTCTCACACAAGCATTTCCAGCTGTAAGTCAGTCAAGAATGTTTTCCGTTGAGCCCTCTGGTCTCCCATAAATCTCCTGCGTCATGTAACAAAGAAACGGTCCCAAGTCCCTCCGTCTGAGAGACCCAACAGGCAACATTAACTGTTCAAAGCCACTTTCGCATTCAGGGAGGAGTCTCTCTGGGGGGAGAAGGGCCACCCAAGCCATTGGAGTGCTTGTGACTATAGGAGGGACAGAGGGGTCATGGGGGCCAGTGCCCAGGATTTCTCAAGAAGAGGTTTGCCAGGGACCTGTCAGGAAGTCTAGAAAAAGGTGCTTTCCAAGAGTCTAACCTACTCCCTGGCACCAGACTTTGGCGTACTGAGGACCTCCCACATCTGGGTTCGAATCTTGACACAGCCCCTTGCTCTAGGCTACATAGCTAGTTAGTTCCTTCCCCTCTCTGACACTCAATTTTCTCAATGGATGATGATACCAACGGATCCCAGTGTTTTTTTAAATTATTTTTATTTTATTTGACACAGAGAAAGAGAGTAATCACAAGTAGGCAGAGAGATGGGGGTAAGCAGACTCCCCACTGAGCAGGGAGCCCAAGGTGGGGCTCGATCCCAGGACCCTGAGATCATGACCTGGCTGAAGGCAAGGCCTAACCCACTGAGCCATCCAGGTGCCCCCCGATCCCGGTTTGATAGGTGATTAGCAATTAATTAAAGTCAATGGTGTTGCATACCTATTAGGCAGCTTATATACTCCAGCTAATTTAATTCCCACAAAAAGTGCTATGAAGGAGGCACTACTGC